CGCACAATAGGCTTGGACAAACATGTAAATGTAACCTCTACTGAATCACCAGCTTCTGCTTTAGCTTTGATTGTAACTTTTCCAAACTCAACCCTATCATCTTTGATTGCTCCTTCTGTGAACCCAATGGTGATTTTACCATTGAAATCAACCTTGGGCTGTTGCGACCATTCCTCTGTTTTAGTCGCAATCTGTTCCTTTAGTCCTGCTATTTCTACAGGGTGGCCATGCTCAACAATGGTGTAGAACTTTTTGACTTGACCCTCAATGATGGCTTTCTGGAGTTCTAGTTGGCCAAGTTGGGACATCACTTGCTTCACGTTGGTTTCCTTCTCCTTGGCTACTTGATCTGTGTGAGACTTAAACTTCTCACGGATAGCTTGGAACAGTATGTTCATATAATTGTTAATGTTTGCTGTGGCATCTTCTGCATTTTGCCCCAACTGACTTTTATAGGCTTGTATATCTTGAATGGCTTGTTCATATATGTCAGCAAGTCCTTCACCTTGTGTTATCAATGCCCCAATTGGCTTCATATTCTTGGCAGCTGTTTCTTTAATGTCCTCAGCTGCATGGCTGTGGTGATCCAATGTGTAGCAAAGTTGACAGAGTACTGCATTGTCTACCTTACAGTAGATCTCTATTGGTTTAGCAGGGTGCTTTTGACAAAACACAGTTCTTTCTTTTATAGACTGAAGTGCAGTTTGTAGATCATGTGCACTGTCTCCCGTAAGGTTGATTAACTTGTGACCTTGCATGACCTTAAATGAGTCATGCATTTTCTTGCACATCCCGCAAAACTTCTTGTTGCAGTCTAGACATTGAACTTTAGCCAGGGTGTGTTTCTCATCAGTTTCAAGACACCTGCTACATTCTGGCTCTTCAGTCTGGTTTATGTCCTTATAGGCATCTAACAGGAATGATATTGTAGGGCTCACTTTGAATTCTGCCACTCCCTGTTGTGGCACATAACATACATGACGACATTCTGGGCAGTTTATGCTACCTTCTTTTAGCCCAATTTTCTCCACAAGATCATGTAGACACTTCAAACAGTACTGGTGTAAACATGGTAACGTCCTTGGTTCAGTAAGAGTATCCAGACACAGTCCACAAGTGAGAGCTTCTTTACAACGATCTTCAATTGCTGACGCCATTTCTACAGTCTAATATAAAAAGTTCACTTGGTTATTAAATATCACCTGACAAACCTCACTTAAAAAATTTGTAAAAGTTGTTTTATTGATTTTTCTACACCAATGTAAAGTTTATCATGACCGTAACTGAGGTATTGTGTTTATTCAAAGAAATGAATGCACTCTATACATACAATGCAGTGATCTCAACAGGATTTTTTATTGAGTGGGTGCAAAATTCTCAATTTCACAATTCATACCAAAATTGGTCAATATATGCCTAAATATTTTCCATGATTTTTCTCATTTTCCAGTGGGTGCAAATGGATTCACAGGTGGGTGCAAGCCTATTTTTAAAATCTAAGGTGGGTGCTGCGCCCACTTGCTTTAATGCTGGGGAGATCACTGCAATGATGTTAATACTGCTTTTTTATGTTTAAGAATTAGTTACCACTGACATCTATTTAACTCTATTAACATTTTTATAACTTCATGTGAAAAAATGATTTTATTCACAGATTTATTACTTAGGCCCATTACTAGAACTATAAAAAAAAAATCATAATGTTGAGTGATGGGAATTTTTTGGTTTCTTTAATTTCTAGTGTTTCAAAACTTTAGTTCTTATTTAATAGTTGCTAATAAGTCTTGCTTCAATTGTAATCGTCTTGCTCCATTGTGACCCTGGTGGGGAAGATAACAATAGGGGGGGGGGGGGGGGGGGCAGAGATTTGATGCAATATTATTGCTATTTGTAAACATTATAAATGGGGAGGGGGGGGGGGCAGAGATTTGATGCAATATTATTGCTATTTGTAAACATTATAAATGGGGGGGGGCAGAGATTTGATGCAATATTATTGCTATTTGTAAACATTATAAATGTTGACTGAATCTCTTAAATTCTATTGATCATATTTAATCATCTTATTGTTTTATATGTGTAAATTAGACCTACTTTTGCAATATGACCTACTTATGCTTTACCAAATTTTATATTATAAATGTCGACTGAACCTCTTAAATTCTATTGATCATATTTAATCATCTTATTGTTTTATATGTGTAAATTAGACCTACTTTTGCAATATGACCTACTTATGCTTTACCAAATTTTATATTATAAATGTCGACTGAACCTCTTAAATTCTATTGATCATATTTAATCATCTTATTGTTTTATATGTGTAAATTAGACCTACTTTTGCAATATGACCTACTTATGCTTTACCAAATTTTATATTATAAATGTCGACTGAACCTCTTAAATTCTATTGATCATATTTAATCATCTTATTGTTTTATATGTGTAAATTAGACCTACTTTTGCAATATGACCTACTTATGCTTTACCAAATTTTATATTATAAATGTCGACTGAACCTCTTAAATTCTATTGATCATATTTAATCATCTTATTGTTTTATATGTGTAAATTAGACCTACTTTTGCAATATGACCTACTTATGCTTTACCAAATTTTATATTATAAATGTCGACTGAACCTCTTAAATTCTATTGATCATATTTAATCATCTTATTGTTTTATATGTGTAAATTAGACCTACTTTTGCAATATGACCTACTTATGCTTTACCAAATTTTATATTATAAATGTCGACTGAACCTCTTAAATTCTATTGATCATATTTAATCATCTTATTGTTTTATATGTGTAAATTAGACCTACTTTTGCAATATGACCTACTTATGCTTTACCAAATTTTATATTATAAATGTCGACTGAACCTCTTAAATTCTATTGATCATATTTAATCATCTTATTGTTTTATATGTGTAAATTAGACCTACTTTTGCAATATGACCTACTTATGCTTTACCAAATTTTATATTATAAATGTCGACTGAACCTCTTAAATTCTATTGATCATATTTAATCATCTTATTGTTTTATATGTGTAAATTAGACCTACTTTTGCAATATGACCTACTTATGCTTTACCAAATTTTATATTATAAATGTCGACTGAACCTCTTAAATTCTATTGATCATATTTAATCATCTTATTGTTTTATATGTGTAAATTAGACCTACTTTTGCAATATGACCTACTTATGCTTTACCAAATTTTATATTATAAATGTCGACTGAACCTCTTAAATTCTATTGATCATATTTAATCATCTTATTGTTTTATATGTGTAAATTAGACCTACTTTTGCAATATGACCTACTTATGCTTTACCAAATTTTATATTATAAATGTCGACTGAACCTCTTAAATTCTATTGATCATATTTAATCATCTTATTGTTTTATATGTGTAAATTAGACCTACTTTTGCAATATGACCTACTTATGCTTTACCAAATTTTATATTATAAATGTCGACTGAACCTCTTAAATTCTATTGATCATATTTAATCATCTTATTGTTTTATATGTGTAAATTAGACCTACTTTTGCAATATGACCTACTTATGCTTTACCAAATTTTATATTATAAATGTCGACTGAACCTCTTAAATTCTATTGATCATATTTAATCATCTTATTGTTTTATATGTGTAAATTAGACCTACTTTTGCAATATGACCTACTTATGCTTTACCAAATTTTATATTATAAATGTCGACTGAACCTCTTAAATTCTATTGATCATATTTAATCATCTTATTGTTTTATATGTGTAAATTAGACCTACTTTTGCAATATGACCTACTTATGCTTTACCAAATTTTATATTATAAATGTCGACTGAACCTCTTAAATTCTATTGATCATATTTAATCATCTTATTGTTTTATATGTGTAAATTAGACCTACTTTTGCAATATGACCTACTTATGCTTTACCAAATTTTATATTATAAATGTCGACTGAACCTCTTAAATTCTATTGATCATATTTAATCATCTTATTGTTTTATATGTGTAAATTAGACCTACTTTTGCAATATGACCTACTTATGCTTTACCAAATTTTATATTATAAATGTCGACTGAACCTCTTAAATTCTATTGATCATATTTAATCATCTTATTGTTTTATATGTGTAAATTAGACCTACTTTTGCAATATGACCTACTTATGCTTTACCAAATTTTATATTATAAATGTCGACTGAACCTCTTAAATTCTATTGATCATATTTAATCATCTTATTGTTTTATATGTGTAAATTAGACCTACTTTTGCAATATGACCTACTTGTACTTTACCAAATTTTAAATGAAAATATGAAATCACCAAACAGAGTCATTTTACACAAACTGTAATATCAGTATATTTGAACAGCTTCCTATAAAGTGTTATTTCTGCCTTCCATTGAAACACATGTTAAAGGGACATAGAATTTTTTTTTTCTATAATCTAAAACCCTTGAAAGTAATAAAAATATGACTACTGTATCTGTTACACATAAAGAGATTAGGAAAATGTAATGTGGTTCTAAAAAGGAAGAATAAAAAACAAATGTTGTCCCAGGGATTTGAACCTGCTCCGCCTGACTAAAAGGTAAGCTAACCACTTGCTAACCACTACACCACTAGCTGTAAATGAACATCTCCTAATCTCTACAATTTAGCCAGTCCGAATGGTATTCTGATTAGACAGGTTTTACTGCAGTACCATTATGATGTCACATAAACTCATACAATGATTAAATTTCTGATTAGAGCAAACATTTAGTTGCATCTGAATGCAGTAATTCTTTAGAATGAGGCATTAACATGCACAATGTAACCACCTGCCATTTGTTACAAAACATCACACAGAATGCCAGCCACCGGACACCATCCATAAAAAAAGTTGGAGACTATTCAACAATGTCACCACTTCTCGCTGGTGGTGACATACTAAACATATTACTAAAACTGTAATTACATGAATTTTCTACTTACAATCTTTTTATTTCTTTCACTGTTTGGGCAAAATGAGCAGCACCTCCATCAGGCATATCTAAAACACAAACTCATGATGTACTCTTTACAGTAAAACCTATGCACTTTAAATGATATTGGCATGGGGCAGAAGTGTCAGGATTAGAAGGTGTTCACATTTCAAGTTTCATGTTTCTAATATGTGAATCAAAAGGAGGTACCAAAATTGGGACCAAGAAAGTGTTCACGTTAAGTTGTGTTCAGAATGATAAAAGAGGTGTTCAGATATTCCTGTGTAATTCGAATTATACCAGGGGATATGGGCTAAATGTATTTGGATTAGCAGGTGTTCACATTTCAAGTATCATGTTTCTTAAATTTGAATGACCAAGGAAGTGTTCACATTAAATTGTGCTCAGATTAGAGGGGTGTTCAGATATAGAGCCATGATAGAGGAAGCAGCTAGATTTTGACACCAGTTCTCTGAATGAAGATTGATGCACAGTTAATATACAGACATAGTTCTTTGAGATATTGCAATCATGTCAAGGGTGAGCAATTCATTAATATGGTTGCTAGTTTTTGTATGTTTATTTATTCAGCAGTAATTTATTAAATATATGTAATACAATAAATCTAATGCACTGGATATCCTTCTGGATATATAAAGCAATTTATTACAACAAACTCAGTGATCTCCCCAGCATTAAAACAAGTGGGTGCAGCACCCACCTGAAATTTTGAAAATATGCTTGCACCCACCTGAAAATCCATATGCACCTTCTTGAAAGTGAGAAAAATCATGAAAAATTGGCAATTTTTGCGTAAAACTATTCACCAATATACATCTTTCCACCAAATATGAAGAAAATCTGTCGACTAGTATTCGAGTTATCTTCCGGACAGACGGACGGACGGAGGGCTATACTATATCCCTACAGAACTTCGTTTGTTGGGATAATGAAAATTTTGTACCCACCTAAGAAGAATCCTAGGGAGATCACTGAAACTGATTTAAAATGTTCAACTGTCCATAGTTTATATAATCACATTGTAAATCACTGCATTTACAGTACCTGTTAATGTGATCACTTTTAGCTGGTACTAGCTGTGTTCACATTATACAGGTGTTACTGTAATACTCTATAGAAGAATAAGACACACTGTGATAAATATTGCATTTTAAATTGGAAAAATTTAAAATGACTATGGTGTTCTCCACAGAAATTATTTCTCAAGTGGATGCAAAATTCTCAGTTTCACATCATTTCAGACTAAAATTGATCAAAATCTGCCAATTTTTCTCATTTTAAAGTGGTTGCAAATAAATTTTCGGGTGACTGCCAACCTGTTTCTAAAATCTCGGGTGGCTGCTGTGGCCACTTGCTTCAATGGTGGGGATATCACTGGGCTACCTAATAATCTCAAGTTGAACAGGTAAGAGGTTTTCCTGGAAGTTTCACCACACCACCCACACAATGCGCACACAGACGCACACTATTAACGCACACCCATCAAAAAATATAGCGCTTTGAAAAAGTGTGATTAAAACATTAAACAACTTATATAACATGACCCATCATGTTTTAAGAATGTGAAACATACCATCTCTATCCACTGAAGTCAGGACCACATAATCGAGACCCCACTCTGTCACTGCACGTGCCGTATTGATTGGTTCTAGAGGGTCAGCTGGTGGGGGTGCTCTTGACGTCTTCACAGAGCAAAATCGACAGCCTCGAGTACAGGTATCCCCAAGGACCTAGAATGTAAAAATGTTGTTTGATAATTTGAATTTTTGACCTACCAGGTGCTTGAAAATTAAGGATTGCGAGTCTCGTACTGCACCGTTTTTCTTATAATACCATTAAAAGCAGAACAAAATTGCCTTTCTGTCGGTGCATTACTTTATTGTAAAGAGTCTAGCAGCATTTTGGTCCCCAGCTGTTAGAAGGCCTTCTTACAGATGGGGACCAAAATGCCGCTGGAAGTAGGGACTCTGTTGAAGAGAATAATTTACTATCAGAAAGGGATTTGTGTTATTCTTTGAATGGAACAAGTTTGAAGAAAAACGGTGCAGTATGAGACTAGTAATCCTTGATTTTCAAACATCTGGTAGGTCAAAAATTCAAATTAACGGTTGAAGTTAGGACCGCATGAATATATTAGCTTTGAGGTTAATTTCTAGTCTGCTGATGCCTGAGGGATATAGGACTCTGCTCTAGAAGGAATTTTCAAGATGAATGCTAAATTCAAAGTAGCTACCATTTTTTTAAAAAATATTAATTTTCCTAACCAGTTGTCAGATTTAGTTGAACATTGGCCAGAGCCCAATTCAAAAAGGGACACTTACCATGATTGTTGCTGTTGCAGTATTGTTCTCTCCCCCTCCCCAGCATTCTCCAATATTTGGGCATTTGGCCTCTTCACAAACTGTATGTAGGTTCAACCCACGTAGAGATTTCTTTAATGATGTGTAGTTTTTACCAACTGGGATTTCGGTCTTCAACCAAGGTGGCAATCTAAGTCTAAAATTCAATTTTTCGAATGATACAATCATTGAAGTAAATAAAATGTTAAAATGTTTATATTATTTATACTGTAATACTATAACCCCTTTAAAATCTATATACACATACTTTTCTCCCTTTTTCTGCAGGAGATTGCCTTTGTATTCTTTCCAATCTTTGTACTAAATAACCCCTTTAAAATCTTAATGCACTTACTTTTCTCCTTTTTTCTTCAGAAGATTGCCTTTATATTCTTTCCAGTCTTTGCCATCATTCTCTATGAAGTCTCCAAGGTTAGGACCATTCTCCAACATTTGTTTTTGGTCATCAGTTAGGTTCGCATATCCTCTTGTAATACTTGTTGAGGCCTACAATGTAATTAGGATACTTTTAGTATGGTAGTACAGATCCGTAGCTAGGGGGGGGGGGGGGGGGTTCGATGGGTTTAAAGAGAGAATCAGATATAGTGAGCAGGCTTAACAAAAAAATTGTTTCAATTTTAGAATATTTTTTGGCTCATGTCATTCATTGTCATGTTTTTTTTCTAAAAATCACAAAAGTGCATACTTAATTCACTCATTTTTGCACTTTGAATCATTAATAACTTCACCAATTTATAACACATTGTGAATTTTTGGGAGATATTGTATTTGATATTGTAAGGAATAGATTGGTTGGTCAATAGTACATGTTGCTTGTAATCTTATCACCCCATATAGATCAGATTCTGCCTTTAACTTTTTTTATATAGTGATACAACATTTGATAGAATTAAATAAGCTACTAAGGAACAAAATAAGGTAACCATCGATAATGTAATGATCCCTGATAGCAAGTTGCTACTACTACCCAGCTGTAGTGTCTAAAGCCTTCATGAGCTTAGTTGGTAAAGCAATAGTCATTGGATCTAAGGGTCTTAGGTTTGATTCCCACAATGGCCGTTCAATTTAGAGCACTTTCTTTCATTCTCTGTATCTGGCTATACTTTATACTCATTAGTTAGTCATTCCCTTGGGGCACCCTTGGGTCATTACAACAATATAAGTTAATTGAAACACAAATTGTAACGCTACGCTATAAGCACTACAGGTGTAACTCTGAGTATGGCTGTACCTGAATCGGTTCCGACAGTTCGGAATCTAAACTTTGCTCAAGGAAATAAGCACGCATTTCAGTGATAAATGGGCTCACGAGTTCAGTTTGACTAAAAATAGATACAGTACATCAGAATCAGTTTAACTGATAAATAGATCTACAAAACGAGTGTAGCGACAACAGGCAAGCCTAACAGCTACAGTACCCAAATGATGATGATGATTCAATGAATGATGGCTCAGCTTTTAACATAAAGACAGGTGTGTTCAGTAAATGATGACGATGATCTGCCTCCCCCTCCAAATGATCACCGATGATGATAAAAAATAGAGTCAGTACGTCTATTTCCAAACACCCCCATCAAAAAATGTAGTTAGCTTGGCTGTACTGCACATCTATGCTATGATTCTATATATATTATGTGTATAATCCACTGTAGAATGCATTTGCAGAAAAAATTACGAAAAATTGTAAAAAATATCTGGGTTATTCCATTTTTACTACAAGGTATTTTAGGGGGGTAATTCCGAACAGGAGTTTTTTTGGGGGGTAAATCCGAACACTTGCATGGGGGTAATTCCAAACACTTAACTTAAACTTAATTGTTTTAATTATTAGATTGATGGTATATCATTATATGATACCTTTAACTTATGATACTGGATCCTGTCACCCCTGCATATCAAGAAACCCAAATTTAAATCATTTATTACTGACATCTATTTATTTAAACGGAGTGGCTCAAGGACCGACAATTGTCGGTACTGGAGACTGTCCAGGGGTATTTGCTGGGGTACCGACAATTGTCGGCACTCTATCGTCACCTAGTAGTGCCAGATAGAGAACCGACAATTGTCGGTACGCAAGTGGCTGCTACGTGTTTTTGCTAGAGAGCCGACAATTTCATAAATAAATCCACTACTTCTTAGTCAAAAATAACCTCATCACTGGTAGCCTAGTGGTTAGCGAGCATGACTCGGACACACTCGTTCCCGAGTTCGAATCCCGTCAGGACCTACTTTTTTCTTTTGAGGGGGGGGGGGTCATAGTGCTTCTTTTGCAGTATGGAATCGTACAGGCATTAACTTGTAGTGAGCCATAATTTATTTCGACAAAAATTGATTCAACTTCCATCAAAATTGTCCTACAAGCTTCAATTAAAAAACATTTTAAAGCTCTTTTCTTGTTCTATCTAATGGGTCGATATATACAGTTAGGGGAGGGGATGCTTTCGCCCCCGTAGCTCTCTACCCTTACTACGCCATGGCATAGGAGAAATATCTCATTTGGAATATATCACTGTTTACTTTGCATTTGGTAGCTCTCTCATGCGAGATGGAATCGTGGCCATTAACTAAGGGAGCCAAATGCAACTTCCATCAAAAATTGTGTTAAGGTATGAGTACCATAATCCAACACCAAATTCGAAAATTCATAACAATACTTTGCACATATGGCGTTTCGTGACCAACTATGAAACGCTTACCCCCCATAGTGTTATATATCAAAATGCACCTGTCCGTATAGGGGTTCGATTGACCTACATCGAATTATAGGGAGTCAGGTTACTTTTTGAGATATCAGCATCCGTTTATTGCAACTCGCGTTTGCTACCACTTCCTCAATTCTGATATGACGGGCAAACGCGTAGTAAACAAACATGCTCACGTTCGGAACTATTTTGACCTACATCGCTATTTTCGTAATTCATATGAAAGTTGAACTCCTCTTTATTTTGATACCAAATAGTGGCATACTAGGTACCCTAGAAGCCAACTATGGGTTATTTAGAACGATACCACAGGTTTTTAAATGGACTATATAGGATGGATATGGAACCTCATACCATAAGCTTCAAATAAAAAACATTCTAGCTATTTTCTTCTATCTAATGGGTAGCAAACGCCCCTTTCTACGCCTGATCGGCTCAGGAGAAATATCCTGTCTGTTTAGAATATATATAGCCGTTTACTCTACATTAATAGCTCTCTAAAGTCTTACTTGTTCATGTTTTTTATTAGGTTTTCAACGTTGACTACCATTCCCTTTTCCCGGGCTACCATTTTTTGACTGGGTTTGGTAATCCCCGGGTAACCGGGGCTAATGCCCTCCCCGGGTTTTGCACTTGTTCCCAAAATATCCGTATGATATCTGAAATATCCCCCGCGCGTTGCGCATGCGCCAGAAAATTCGAAAATCAATATTTGTCGGTCCTCTAGCGTGTAAACACAGCATATCTCCCGTACCGACAATTCATTTGTCGGTCCTCTAGCGTGCCACCACATCAGAGTCTAGAGTACCGACAATTGTCGGTACTCTAGCCTTTACGTTATTTAAACGCACAGAGTTTGTGGGGGTAATTCCAAACACTAGCATGGGGGTAATTCCGAACACCTAAATCATCATAATTGATTATTTTATTATAAGATTGTTGGTATACATCATTATATTGTATCTTTCAGGCTATAAATATTATGTAGAGGTAGTAGAGGTACTATTATTCAATTCAATGATCTGCTTGCCATTATTTGGAACCCGTTCGTGTTTACCCCCCTGTTTGGATTTGGACGTATTGACTCTAAAATAAAAAATTATCAAAAAATTAAAACATAAAAATAATAATATTATAATAGGTCTACTCCCGCTATTATTTCTATTTATAAACCCATTAGTACTAGACAAGGTAGCTGATCTACCGACATCACACATTAGTATACTTTATTACCTTGTAAAACCTTTGTAATTGTGATAAATCCTTCTGTTGCGAAAGTTTTCTGCAAATGTTGACAGCCATGTTTTTAGGTCAGAGGTCAACCGGAAACAAGTCCTTCTAAAATAATCCGCGTATTTAAAAACTAATTACACAATTACACAATATAACATTGAGTAAAAATGTCCATTGAATACATAATTAAATGAAACAAGTTTAAGTATCGTACTCGAGGATTCTAAAACTTACGTTCGTATAAAGAAAATGAGTGAAAATCATATTGCACTATCCATTTTGCGGAAGGTGCCAGAAAAAGAGTTGTTGGGCTACTTCCGGCTGTAGAAGCGGAGAAAAAGTGACAGTTCGCAGTCTTCTTCGATATATGTAATGCAACGTAAAATAAATACCTAGTAAGATACACATTAACAAAGAAACATATTAGATGAAAATATCTGAATCTTCTTCTTGCAGGTAAGTTAGTCTTTACGGCTTATATTGTGTTATTATGACGGAGTGATTTTATTTTCATTTGAATGAAAGTCAAAGTGAATCAAAATAAACAGTGCAATGGTGGGGGGGGGGTGTTGATGGATCAATCAATGTTCTCAATTAAAACTTTTAAATAATTTTCTTGATACGAAGAAAGTATGAGTTTAAATTAGTCGTGAACTGGGGTGGTCCTCAAAATAAAGAAAAGGAGGCCCAAAAATCTTTGGGGCCACAATTTATTTTCGGCTACCCCCTCTATTTCTGCCATTGATGCCAGGCTCTTAGACAGGGTACCCCCTTGGTAAAATCTGGCTTGGGGCCTGGATGCACTGCAGAAAACAACATGTAACAGTCTAAATCACTGTATAACTTCCAATGCAGCACTATACTCATAAACCTTAAATAATTTCATGATAATGAGCATATATGGTTATAAAAGTAAATGACACGCATACATGAAGAAATTTAAGATAAGCCCAAGTACAATTTTTACCAGCTACCATCACCAAATGAGAATTAATGTATTTTGAATATAAGTCTTGGTTGAGTTTTAATAATTTACTATTAAAACTGCAATTTTATGCAGATATCTACACTGTATAAACTAATCAGGTATAGTCTTTCATTATGCATTGTTACTCTGTTGTCATGCAAATGTATAGGTCTTTGTGATATAATAAATGCAAGATATTGATTTTTCAATTATTTCAGTTAGATAAATGTAATAATTACTATGATGTAATTTGATGTGATAATTAGAACAAATCTATATAATTATTAGTAAAATAAATGAAATGAAATTTTCTGAAAGATATATTTATAATTTTCCCATAAATTAAACAAACCCAAACAAATTAGCAATTATCAAAGAATATTTAGCAGGGAATTAAAAACAATACAAAGTCCATCAAGTTATATGATATGTATATTTGATCGCAAGGACACCTCTCAATATGAACACTTTCTCATGGTCCAAATTTTGTAATTTCATGGACTCCCTCTTGTAATAGGAACAGGCCTGTAGCCAGAATTTGCCAAGGGGGGTTCACTCTTTAAAGATTTACCATAGACAACTTTGGCCCAAATTTGACCAAAATCACTTAAAAAGTGCCCAAAATGGTAAAAAACTGCATGATTTTGAAAGAATTTTTGGACAGGGGGGGGGGGTTGAACCCTCCAAACCCCCCTGACTGCAGGCCTGATGAACACCTACTAATCTGAACACTTTTTCCAGTCTCAGTGGATAGTATTCAGATAAGACAGATTTTAGAATATTTTATTAACATTTCCACAAGAAAAAAATAAAGCCAAGCATGTACTCACATTGATGATCACAGATTTCTATCAATCAATATTTCCACAATAGAAATGATTACCATGGTAATATTAAAACCAGGATCTGTCAATCATGATCCGGATATATATGTTTATCAGTCCATTATCATTTAAGGGAAACATAGAAATAGAATGACAGGATCAATAAAATATATTTCACTGCGTTATCAGAATATTTCATTTCAAATGATCACGGGGGTCCAGGCCCGTAGCCAGGGGGGTTCGAACCCCCCTGGCCAAAAAACATTTCAAAATCATGCAGTTTTTCACCATTCTGAGCACTTTTTAAGTGATTTTGGCCATTTTTGGACCAAATTTGTCACAAGTTAACCCCCCCTGGAATTTTTGAAAAACTGAACCCCCTCTTGGCAAATCCTGGCTACGGGCCTGCATAATATTCAATATTTCAAATGATCATTGGGGTCATTACCAGAAACTTTGTAAATTATGAAAAGATCAATTGTTGTAACTAGATTAGTGAAAAATGGACTTTACAAATTCCTAACTTTACAAAGTTTCTATTTCTACCCTGGAACTCAGAGACCTTTAGTAAATTTCTAGCCTCTGATGATTCTAAATGAAATTATCGTTTTAATACAGAAATTGTATTAAGAGATTAGAGAGAAGTAGAACTTTGAATTAAATTTCTACCCTGAAACCAAGAGGTCAGTATTTAATTCTAGCCTCTGATGATTCTTAATGACGATGTAGTTCACTACTGAAAATGATGTAAAGACATTAGAGAATGGTAGAAATATGTAGACATAGATCCTGTTTTTGCAGTTTAGATTAGAGTTATGACTAGGTCTCATTTGCTCCAATTCATTGGCTGGCGCACGGCTGATTGAGTATTTTGTTCAAAACTCTATACGATTTTGAATAAAATACTCAAACGCCTGGGCGCCGGCCGATGAATCGGAGCAAATGTGACCTAGTCATAAGATTTTACTAATCAAACCAATCACAGTGTTCTTAGAGCGAGGCTAGACCACTGGTGAAAAGTCTATTTTTGCAAGCTCTCATTGTCTTACATCTTCTACGAATAGACCTCCATTCCATTTAAACGAACCAATTTCATATTCTTTCATGCTTCATTGAATTTTACATTTTTCTTAAGGGTTTATATGAATGACTTAATATTCTTTATTCTCAATTAATATGGTTAAGTCATGCTCACTGACATTATTAAATTAATAGTGAACAATTGACCTTTATTATTCATTATAAGGTTAAATTGACATTTTGGATTGATAAACTACATCTGAATGAATGGATCTATGATTAATTGAGTTAATTACTTTATTATTGTCATTGATATTGTAAAATGTTAAATCTAGTTTTTTTGTTATGACAATAGCAGATGTACACTGTTCGGTATAATATGTAATATTTGCTCATTCTAAGCGCTCATAAATTGAAATAAATATTCACAATTAAATGATAGTCTTCATAGCTAAATGGAAATCTTTATTGAATGAAATGTTCTTGTGACAAGTTCAGATTGGTATACATAGGTGTTCAGTTAAACGGTAAAATCTATATATCTGAACACCTCTCTAATCTAAACACTATAATCTGAACACCTCTCAATGTTAACACTTATTTCAGTCCCATTTTCTGCCATGCCATAGACTTCCATGCAAAAAACCTTGAATGTGAATACTCGTCTTTTTGTTTTTTGGCCAGTCTCTGATTTCTAATGTTGTTAATGTTGTTGTTCCCCTACAGGCTCGTAGCCAGGGGTTAGGTGGGTAAACCCCTACCTGCCCAAAAATTATTTCAAAATGATGCAGTTTTTCACCATTCTGATCACTTCACGAGTGATTTTGGGTTTAAGTTGTCAATGTGACCCCCAAGGAATTTTTTGAAAAGTGAACCCCTCCCTTGGCAAAAGCTGGCTTATGATACTTATCCTGTAAGACCCTGGAGTGCAACGGGAAACCCCCTTACAACATTCTATCTAAAATTTGTGAAAGACTCCTTCAAAGAATAGTAAAGGCAGGTTGATCAGCGTTGATCCTACAGTGGTACATGTAAGTTAATTTACTTCAAAGTATATTTGAAATAACTCTTGAAAAGAAACGTTCATATATGTTTTGAATTTACATGCTAATGTGAATAGTAAATGTCAGTAGCTAATTAAATTGATAAAGCATCATACAGGGATAACTAGATTATAAACTGAACATTATTCAACATTATTTCATTTAAAATACCTCAAGGTCTAATAGCAATAGTTTTTATATTTTTTTCATTTCTCATTTATTCCATATATATATATAATACAATACAATATCATTGCCTACATTTTTCAACATTGTCGGCAATATACAAAACATATCAAACTGGAAATACAATAGATAAGGTCCATAATATAGATGGTGAGAAATGTTAGAGGCCTTTGTGTTATATTAGGCATTATGTCATATTGTTAGATTGAAAAGATGAACATCATTCAATCAGGCCCGTAGCCAGGGGGGGGGGTTCGTTCCGCCCTGTCCAAAATTTCTTTCAAAATCATGCATTTTTTCACCATTCTGACTATTTTTTCAGTGAATTTTGGCCAAATTTGCCAAGGTGAGCCCCTCCAGAATTTTTTGGAAAAGTGAACCCCCCTTGGAAAATTATGGCCACGGGCCTGTCCAATGTAAAGGAAATTATACAATAGAAAACTTTAACAGTCAACTAGATTCCAAGTTCTCTACTGCAATCTTTAAAAAATTCTACAGTTCATGATGTTCTTGTTCATTGTGACATTGTAGAATTGTGACATTGTTCATTGTGACATTGTAGAATTGTGACATTGTTCATTGTGACATTGTAGAATTGTGACATTGTTCATTGTGACATTGTAGAATTGTGACATTGTTCATCGTGACATTGTAGAATTGCAATGGGACTATGAATTGTCTTGAATTACGTAATATAATTTTCTTCAATGAGGGGATTAGATTGCTTTATCCTGGATTAGAGCCATGATCGATCCAATATTAAGACAAATCTTAATATCTTAAGTAACTCGATTGCTTTTTAACATGTTAAGTATGTTTTGAGGATACATACAATAAATTTACCACTTTGGAAATGAAGAAAATGTAGAATTAAATACAGTTGATTTTTAAAAGTTAAATCTGTCATAGAAGATATGTAGATCCCTAGGTCAGAGTTCTAGGTCTAGTTCTAGTTCTAATCTAGATCTCATGTTTTACTACTACTAGCAAGCAGCTGTATTTACAGTTTATCAAACGATATGTTCTTTGTAATCCCAAAACAAAAAATGATTTGTGACGTCTTGTTAAAATGTTTTATGTTGTTGTCTTATACTAATGATTGTGAGCGTGTATGTGTGTCTGTCGGGATGGATGGGCGCCACATAAATTAGGAAAATCGTTTACTTTTCAACTTAAAAATTTTACGGATGTAAGAGCAGACTGTTGATAAAATCTGATTTTTGCATGTCGGGTAAATGACTTGGTGGCCATATTGAATTTTTTTGCTAGAAAGTGCAATATTTATTATTGTGTCTCTAGTTTAGTTTAAGTGATAAACTCTTAAAAATCTCTGTGTAGGTAGAAATAAGCCTCGTAGAGTATACTTATAATTGCAAATTATCCTGATACTCAAACGTAGGTTGGCATTTGCATTATGCTGTAGTATAGTAACAATGACGTGCGTGCCCTTTTTTATATACCACTTTCTCACGATTAACATAAAACGTAACATAAAATCAACAAATTGGTAAGTCATGTCCAGCTCGTGAAACTAGGAATTGGTTTATTATTGATAGACTTATCATGTCGAAATATTTGATAATAAGTGTGTAAGTTACACAACATAAGGTGTGACGCATTTCTATCAATTGTGCATTTCTATCAATTGTCACCATCGTGCATATAAACCTGGGTAGAAAATATCACTCCAGTTCTACAAATTTCTCCCTTCCCACTTAAGCCATATCCTAAAACACCATCCAGTTATATACATTATCATACATATTTGAGCATGAACTACATATGTGAGTGATACTGATAATCCCTTCATACGCTTTACTATGTCCATTAATTCACTTAAAATGATGGTGTTTTGAATATAGGTATGGATAATTAATTTCATACCACAAGAGCACAAGCCTACAACAGCATACTTACTTAAGAATCATTTTCCATATTTCACCTGTGTAGAGTATACTTGGTAGGCAGTTATTATTGGCAGACACTTATTGTACACACTTATTGTACACACTTATTGTACACACTTATTGTACACACTTATTGTACACACTTATGATGGAATATCAAAGTGTGATTGGACTGGGCTCTGAATAAAGGACACTGTAAATTAATACTCAAATATAGATTCATTCTTAATGGGGAAAATTGTGCACTGAATGCAGAGTATGGTAAAACATGTCTTGTCTGAATATCAAAGTCTTCAGAATATAGGTGTTCACATTTCAAGTGTTCTTATTGAGAGGTGTTCATATTATAAAGGTGTTCAGATGTACAAGTTTTACTGAACTGAGTACTGGATATAAAAATATTGAATAGACAATATCGTAATCTTCGAGGAAGGTCATTCAAGATAGGGTACACTGAATTATTAAGGTAAGAGTGATTTTAATGTAGATATTAATTATATGAAACAAAATTATGAATATGATCCTATATAACAATAAGATTGAATATCAATTAGCTATTTTTTCCTGAAAAAACATAACTGATTTATTTCAGGCTAGATAAAAGATGAAGGATTTGCGGAGTGATACTTTTATAATTGATTTAAGATTTAGAAAATCAGACTAAACTCATTAAAATAGTTCTGTTCTTTAATTATTATATTTTTGCACTTAATTGTACTCCAGTAAAACCTTTGAACTCTTAGTGGAGTCACAAAAAGGTGTTCACTGTTGGTAGGTGTTCATTAAAGAGAGATTTTTTATACAAGAGTCAATATATTAAAATGTTTCTTGAAATGTTCACTCAATATAGGTGTTTACTGTTGGTGGTAGTGGTTGGAAGACTGACTCGTGTACTCAAGTTTTACTCGCATTTGTCCTAAAAATCAATTGATCGAGTTGAAAACTTGAACTCACGATTTGAAATTTTTACTAAAAAAATATTTTTCACTCGTTTTCACCTTACCTTGACTCGCGATTCGTCTCTCCTATTCGCAATTTCCATGCTTATAGTTGTAATGTTCTGCTTAATCTGTATAGAATACAACTTATTTTCCATGTGCGGAAGACAAACATACTTGGATTTTATTCTGCGTTTGTTTTTTTTTATGCAAAAGTTTCATTTCCGGTTTGATGCATTCTGGGAATATCCAACTGCCGATTTAGACAATAAAAAGTATAGAGGCACTTGAAAGACTTGATCAAATTGATGAATTCTGCCGCTACTTGGGAAATTGAAACCGGAAGTAACTCAACTAAATCAAATCGCGAATATAATCGTGGTTTTTCATGGCCCACTCGAGTGGAGATTTTCAGGCGAGTCCGACCACTAGTTGGTGGGTGTTCATTACAGAGATTTTTTATACAAGAGTCAATATGAAATGTGTCTTGAAGTGTTCACTCAATACAGGTGTTCGCTGTTGGTAGGTGTTCATTACAGAGATTTTTTTTATACAAGAGTCAATATAAAATGTGTCTTGAAGTGGTGTTCGCTCAACACAGGTGTTCATTAGAGAGAGGTGTTCACTGAAACATGTTTTACTGTGTATGCTATCAAACAAGTTACAGAACTACATTATTTAGCCATTTTATATTGACAGCTTATAATAAGCCTATAAAATATGTATGTCAATCAGTCTATATCAGCTATATACCATATGTATGACATAAATCTTTCAGGCTTTCAGAAAATAGTGTTCCCATACCTATTAGGCCATTACCTTAATTACTGTGCTATAGTAAATTATATTTTCTCTCAATGCAAGTACAATGAGAGCTTGCTATAAATGATATTAAATCCATGATTTAATACTGTGCTTTATTGAAACGTGTACATTTGTTCAGTTGTAATAATACTGTAATTGATCGTCATGGAAATTGTGTAATTACACATTTACAGCTGCCATAACTCAACATGGGAAACAGTCATGCTCTTTCATGAAATTTCATTGTTTTACATATCATTTCTCTGTAAATTAATGCTGACTTGGGCATATTATGTGTTTAACTACATGTCTCTGAATAATTTACATAATTTTTCTTATCTGATAAATTCATGTCTATACGCTTTTCAGTAATTTGAATTTCATCTTCTATAATGAGAGACTCTGTGTAATCAATTTCTAATGTTCAAGAGCAATGCAAAATTTTCTGAATTTTATTAAGATAATGGTATAAAATACCTGTGCCCCCTGTACCATTTCTTTTCTTTAAGTTTTATGTATTTTTAAATATAGATGACTATGAAATGAATAATACTGTAAACAAAATTTATTATTTTGTTCATAAATATGAACAAAACAAAAGATAATGGTATGGTATAACCTTTCAAATTGAAGGATTATATCTCAGACTCCTACTCTTAGAATCGTCATGGTAACCCATGTCTTCTTTATCTCTGTCAATCTGGACAAGATCTGCAATGTGCAGGAGTTTCATTAGAATTTCTCACAACAGACTAAATAAATGAAAACAACATGCAAAATTAATGGAAAGCATAAATTTAACATGGACAAGTTGAAAAGTCCCTAAAAACAACAGGCGATCTTGTGGAAACAGCCGGTGAAAATTGCCTGTTGCCTGCTGCTAATAAAATCCCTGATGTGACAGTGGGAGAGAAAGATGCCAGAGCATCAGAAAACTTATAAATGATAATCTTTCTATAGAAAAGGGTTAACTGCAGTTGGTTACCTGAGTTACTGCAATCATGTTGTCAAATATATTTCACCATAAGGAGTGTAATATGAGAGCCCAGTATGGGTCATAATGCCGTGTGATTATTAGCAGTGGTGATCAAAAATCACAGTTGAAGTTGGCAGAGATCAGATTCGACATTAAAATGTTACTCAATCATATTAAATGGGATTATGTGACATGTTACTTAAATATCAATGTCTGGCTTATTTGCAGACAGCTTTGCACATTTTAGCAATTAAATTAGTTTATTTTTGATTTAACCTAACCTAATCATAATTGTATTGTAAATCACATGTAGCTTTTCCATTAGAATTAATTTGATAAAATATCATGGATTTCTTTGGGATATCACAATTTGGATTACATTGGACTTTTTGGTAAGTAATTTACCCCCATTTGTTTTTTGTACCATGCTTAAGTTCTTTCCCATATGTACCTATTAATCCCATGGATACTAAATATGTGTATGAGGATAACAACACAAGGTAATCTTAGTATGCACTTCTAAAGTTGTATCCGATCAGTATGACGTCATATCTAATCATATCCTATCCGACAGATACTATTTCTTTTCACTACTTGTAGAGATGGTTGATAGCTACTCATGGATAAAATTGGTGTCCCTCAAAAATCATAAGTTATCTCCCCAACTCACCAATGTAAGAGGAAAATTGAACAAGGAAAATAACATATTTTCCCTCTGATTAAAGTTACAGTTGGGGTATCCAATGGTTTTCCTTAAAAGAGAGTTTCATGTCAATTCTATGCTCTGTGCCTCAAGGTACTGTATATTGTTGAAAATGAATCTATAAATGAGCCAGGCCACAGGAAAAGGGGTCTTATCACAGATTTTTTCAATATTCTGATTTTTTGTTTATCTTAGAAAGCACAAAGAGACCTTTCAAATGAGCCATGGCTTATGTCTTAACACTTTTTCCTTGCATATATAGACCAAAAAGTCGGATTTGAATTTAGCACATTTTCCTCATAATCTTGGGCACATTTTTGACTCTGTAGCACAATTCTAATTTTTGTGATAAGACCGGTTTTCCTATGGCCAGGCTCGAATATCCTTTATCTATGTCAAAAATTGTTCCAAATTTTATATCTGTACAATTACATGTATTAACAAACTAACCTCTTTGAAAATGGGAATATGGGAGTCTAACCTCATATCTAAGATTACCTAGGAAGTAATGCTTACAGTTTCTTGAACTGGAAGAAGAAAGGTGATGTTAAACACAGATATAAATAAGATAGGGCATGTAAAAAAGGTCCTTTTAGATTATTCTGCTCAAATGAACATTAATTTGTATCAAATATCAAACCTAAGATGAATTGTCTTATATTTCAACATATATTATTTTTAGTGCATATTTCCAGGTCCCAAGCAAGGGGGATGGTTCAGTGTGTTAGAGTGGACCTCTTTGGCAAAAATTATTAAAAAATTTCAACCTCCTGGATCATAATTTTAAAAGTCTAACCCCTCTGGCAAAAGCTTTGTTGTTGCTATTACAGCCACTGATTTCTTTTCACTTTTTTGCTTTATCACATTTTCTCCATTTAAGGTGGCCTATAATGATGCTTATTTTTTCGTGAAGTCAATCTGTCAGTAAAATTACGATTTCTCTGCACCCTGATGTCCAATCAACATCATTCAAGTATCTATGTGTTCCTGACACGTTTGGGCATCTGGTAATGACAACATCTACCCAATGTTTGCACGCGAAATTGATGTAATTCATGACTGAGTGGTTTCACGAAAAAATAAAAAGGCTATACGCCACGTTAATAAATTCATAGCAAGAAACATTCTAAATATGGCTGTTTGCATTTCTTATATAAACCAATATAGTCTCTGATTATGAAAACAATATATCCTTGATAGTTGTTATTGTCACAGAGCATAATTTGATACCCTTGCCAAGACCAATTAATTCATCTTATACTCTTAAAATAACAGATAAAACCTGAACTTAATGAACCAATCAGAGCTGATTATTGCTCACCCCTGATTTAAGTCCATATTTGGTAATTTCTTTTGAATCAGTGTGCAATTAGTTCTCTGATTGGTTGACAAGTAAACTGCATAATAATCAATTTTAGTCAGAGGGTAGTTGGATCCTTAAAAGGATAAGTTAAGGGTAGTAATCTAGAATTACTCTCCAAGGCTTAGTATTCTTACACAATTGGCCTTTTATTACCAATCTCTAATGAATCCAAGGATAGAGAAGTATTTCATCAATTATACCATAAATCATGTTTATTTCACTAAACTTTGAAAATATACTAATTATGCTCAGTTTCCAGGAGTTTTAAAATAATGTCATCAATTTTTGTAATTGATATCAACCAACAGACAAATTTCTAAAATTCATAACTGCATAGTTTGTCCAAGTATAAGGAAATCCTGAATTTGTGAAAATTGCATGCTTGTATTCAACATGTTTTACAGTAATTGTGTACTTGGCTTCTTGTTTCTTGTTGCCATTCTTGATGTTTTGATGCTGCATGGCCTGGATGTAACAGATGTTGGCCTGCTATAATACTAAATAATACAGAGCAACTACATGATTGATTTTTTATTTATTTAAGATTGGATCTGTCTCGCTCTTAAGTAAGTAGTGTGTGCTGCATCTACTTGGGATTTTGAAAATAGATTTGCACCAATTTGAAAGTCTTATGCACCTACATGTATTTGAAAATGAAAACAAAAGTCATTAAGCTACATATTTCAACCAACCTTTTGACAGAAATATGAAAAATTTATGCTGAAAAAATTAGAGAGAACACTGGATTGTATTTACTCGAATGTAATGTAATGCATCAAGAAAGTTGAGTTCTCAGAAATGTGGTATTATCTATTTTAACTGTAAGTTGTGTTTGTTTAACTTGATCAATTGTGACTTGCTCTTTCCTATTGATTTATTTCTTCTTTATTGATATAGCATATTGTTGACAAACACCTGTTCACAAATATATAAACAGCTGCAGATGCTATTTTATATAAAATCCATATCAATGATGTGTTTAGAAACATAAAGGAAAATAAGCCATATACAATAAAACCTGTCTTAGTAAACACCCCTCTCTCTCTCTCGTGAACACCTGTCTGTAGTAGACACCCTTTCTACGCACACTATCTACTCACTTCTGCATAAATTACCCTCCCTGTAGTGAACACCTACCAACACTGAACGTTTTTTTCTTGGCAAAAATGTCCAATATTCACAGGTTTTACTGTACACTTATGTATCATACTTTGGGGCCACTCTTACTGGTTATGATTTGGTGTCACATTGCTCTGTTTGGGGGACCCCCTAATACTTAATGCTTTCAGAACCCATGGTACCTTATCTCGAGAGACCCATGAGTTCTTAATAAAGCAAAATATATACTTAAATAAGCTCAGAATTGAGGATGTAATAATACAGTATTCCAATATTACCTATTGATTAACAAATGTAATGTTCTTAGTTGAAGCTGTTCAGAAAATGGTTAGATTTATGAGGTATTTATTGTAATAATACTTTAATTAAGTAAATTTAAATATGTATGTGAGATCATTAAGAAAAACTGCCCCAATTAACTGACAGGACGTTTTTTAATACAGCATCGTGTCATGGTGTTATTTCATGTATTATTCAATGTGATATTCCATGGTGTTATTCCATGTATTATTCAATATGTTATTCCATGGTGTTATTCCATGTATTATTCAATATGTTATTCTATGGTGTTATTCCATGCGTTATTCCATGGTGTTACTCCATGTATTATTCAATGTGTTATTCCATGTATTATTCAATGTGTTATTCCATGGTGTTCTTCCATGTATTATTCAATGACTGTATTATCCCGTGTTATTCCATGTATTGTTCAATGCATTATCCAATGGTTTATTTAATGGTGCCTCGTAGATACCTGTGTTACAGCCCCATGGCATGACCGCCTAGAATGTTATTTCATGGTGTTATCCCATGTGTTATTTGATGTATTTCAGGCAGACTAGATGACTGCTAGGGGAAGTTGACATTAGTAGTTTAGTGGCTCCTAGATGCCTGTGTTACAGCCCCATGATATGACCACACAAAATGGCTGCAGTTCCCCAACACACAGAGCCTCAGCCAATGCTGATTGGGCACAAGGTACACCCATAGGCCATCATGGCACCAAAGTTGTCCCCAGGGGAGAATTTGATGGGCAAAGTAAAACATTGCGGTCTCCTAGGAGATCACAAAGGTATGAGACGTCCATACTTGATATTGCATTGAAAAAAATGTCCAAAATCAATATTATAGCCTCTAAATACATGTACTATATAATGCAATGTGTTTGATATTTGATGGGCATTGAAAAAAGCAATGTGCCTAGATAGGAACTTTGGCATTTTAAAAAAGTTTAATAATATACACAAACTGTATATTCAAGCATTTCTCTAATCTGAACATCTCTCAATGTTAACACTTTTTCTGAGTCCCAATTTTATCCCATTGACCCACATATCAATAAATCTTAAAATGTGAATACCTTCTAATCCAAACACTCTTTTGTCAGCACTTGTAGCATTCAGATTAGACAGGTTTTACTGTAATTATGTAATTATATATGAAAATTAGAATGTGCTATTTTCAGGTACACAGGCCTTAAGCTAAATGATGAGTTTGAAGGAAAGTCCAATCCAACTAGTGATGCACATGCAGAAGACAATCCTGCTGATGACCAAGTATTTCATGATAATGGAACACAAGAGAATGGAGGAGTTGATATTGATGAGCAAAACGCTGAGCTTGAGTCAGGCGGGAAATATCCACATGTTAAATCTGCAGTTAGGCATAACTCATCTACAGCTAAAAGGCATCATTCCGCAGCTACGCAATCTTATATCGCAGCTTTGCAGTCCGCTGGTACCCACTCTCATTCCACAGGGCCCAATTACAACAGCCACCCAACTACAGCAAGGCAACATAAATACAAACATCGCCAAGTCTCAAATCTCGATCATAGCAATAAACCCAACAATCCTTTCTCCTGCATCCCCGCAGATTCATGTAAATCGGAGCAACAGCGTGAAAAGGAGTTTCTGGCCCTAGAGCAGCGACACGTCCATGATGTGTATGATCACATAGCTCCACATTTTAGTGACACGAGGTATAAGGCGTGGCCCAAGGTACAGGAGTTTCTGGAGCAGTTAGAGCCGGGTTCCCTTGTGGCAGATGTAGGTAAGTATCGTACTTAAAAGAAATGCTCCTAATTCTGCCATTGTCCAAATTCCCCCTTGGTCCTAACTCCTGTATAGTCTTCATTCATGTATATTCCTCATTTATGTATATTCCTCATTCATGAGTATTCCTCATTCATGTGTATTCCTCATTCATGTGTATTCCTCATTCATGTGTATTCCTCATTCATGAGTATTCCTCATTCATGAGTATTCCTCATTCATGAGTATTCCTCATTCATGTATATTCCTCATTCATGTGTATTCCTCATGCATGTCTATTCCTCATTCATGTGTATTCCTCATTCATGTGTATTCCTCATTCATGTGTATTCCTCATTCATGTGTATTCCTCATGCATGTGTATTCCTCATTCATGTGTATTCCTCATTCATGTGTATTCCTCATTCATGAGTATTCCTCATTCATGAGTATTCCTCATTCATGAGTATTCCTCATTCATGTGTATTCCTCATTCATGTGTATTCCTCATTCATGTGTATTCCTCATTCATGTGTATTCCTCATTCATGTGTATTCCTCATGCATGTCTATTCCTCATTCATGTGTATTCCTCATTCATGTGTATTCCTCATTCATGTGTATTCCTCATTCATATGTATTCCTCATTCATGTGTATTCCTCATGCATGTGTATTCCTCATTCATGTGTATTCCTCATTCATGTGTATTCCTCATTCATGTGTATTCCTCATTCATGTATATTACTCATTCATGTGTATTCCTCATTTATGTGTATTCCTCATTCATGTGTATTCCTCATGCATAAAGAGTAATATTCATGCATTATTCTTAATTCTTGCATAGTCCTCATTCATGCAATGCTTAATCTTAATTCTTGCATAGTCCTCATTCATGCAATGCTTAATCTTAATTCTTGCATGAGAACCGGTAATCACAACAAGCATCTGGAAATATCAGGGAAACTTTTTTTCCCATCATCCGAAAATGTCAGAGATTCAAATGATAAAAATATTTGGATGCCATGGGAGCAAATCAGTTCAGGAAATTAATATTTTTGAGTGGTTATATCAGAAAATTTCATTGTGAAAAGGTTGTAAAAAACCCTTTGGGAAATAACACTGATTAGAGTCTGTATAGTTTATGTATACTCTTTGTTTGAACAGAGAGTACCCATATTTTTATTGGCTTCCCCTCCATCCCCTACATGTTCACATTTTAAGGTTTCTTTTATGTGAGTTAAAGGGAGATATCAATTTGAGTCCAACAAAAGGTGTTCATTGCGAAGTGTTCAGGTTAGCAAGTGTTCACATTTCAAGGTTCCTTAATATGTGAATCAAGTGTTCACATTTCAAGGTTACTTAATATGCGAATCAATCGGAAAACCAAGAAAAGTGTTCACATTTCAAGGTTCCTTAATATGTGAATCAAGTGTTCACGTTTCAAGGTTACTTAATATGCGAATCAAGTGTTCACATTTCAAGGTTCCTTAATATGTGAATCAAGTGTTCACATTTCAAGGTTCCTTAATATGTGAATCAAGTGTTCACATTTCAAGGTTACTTAATATGCGAATCAATGGGAAAACCAAGAAAGGTGTTCACATTTCAAGGTTCCTTTATATGTGAATCAAGTGTTCACATTTCAAGGTTACTTTATATGCGAATCAATGGGAAAACCAAGAAAATGTGTTCACATGAAGAGATCTTCAGATAAGAGAGGTGTTTAGATACACATATTTTACTGTACATGAATTTTTACCTTTTATGTACCAGTATAACTACAGATTTATTTTAAGAAAATTTGATTTCTCAGATCAGGATTCAGTGTCTATCATTGCTTTGTATTGATTTTAAAAGCTGAGAGCTAAAATCAAAACAATTTCTAAAGCTAACAATTAACACATGTTTTCCCTACAAAGCAAAAACAAAGCTTTTGAAAATACTCTTAACATACTGTGTAAATATGAAATTTGATTTTATGCTTCTGAAGTATTTATGAAGAATGCATTGTTTTGAATCCCTTGTTTAAAGGGTGACGCATATCGTTTAGCAAATCGAACGCTCGTTTCTGGTGTTGCTCACCGTTTAGTATAAAAGGCCCGATCCCGGAATAATACTCAAGGGTTCACAGGTTCGAGGTCGTTGTGTCAACACCTCTAACTGTTATATAGCATAAGAATATTATAGATCGTCACACATTTATAAAAGGGTGATTTTTATTTTGACAAATCAATTCCACATTTATGGGTGAAGTTTTAGGATCTTCTATTTGTGTACAATAAGGATAAATTGGCATCTAAATTTCCCCATAACGTAATAGCACACAGCTTGGCATATGAAATATCCTACAAATGAAACAAAGCAAGACAAACCGGTTTCTAATACAAGGATTTATATTGGCTGTTGTACATGTATTCTTTGAACGCAATCACTCTTTGGATAACGTTTTCAAAATCATTATAAACGGATTACTTTATCTCAAAGACAATTTCAATAAACTGGATTTTACAGAACTCCCCTTATTTCTTAAAAATGGACTGATCCAGTTGATTTGCCTGGAGCCGCCATATTGTTTTTATACGGGATGCTAATCGGAACCCTTTAAAATAGCATCTGTTTATGACACTTTCAATCACCTTGTATTGTAAGCGAGGGGTCATGGGTTTGATCCGCACTGGAGTGGACTGACTTTTTCAGATCAGTCCTTATAGCCTATGATTTAATTCTGTGTTTTCATTAACTAATAAAGATTTACTTTTTAGTTTTCTGACTCTTATTATATGCAATTTTAATTTCATGAATCTTCATCTAGTTCCTTTCGAATTACACTCATGTTCACTTAAACTGCATTGTGAGATCCACGGCATGCATATAAGTTGTCTAAAGAATGGATAACATCTTAATTTATCGTGGCTCTCAGTTTTTTCATTCATCTACAGATCAAACTGCCTTGCAATATTAACATTTCATGGGAAATTATAATTGAAAAATAGATAGAACTTTAATAAATAAATTAATAATTGAATCTGTGATGTACCATTTTATTTATTACAAGTAAAAATATAAAATATTTAATTCTGAAAATCAGATTGATCATCATATAAAGAGGTCACCCCCACGTCAGGATTATATATTGGGTTCCCCCAGCCCCTGTGGATATACTGTACATGGCTTAAAGTCTTTAGGAATTTCAGGAAATTTCAGGAAAAAATGGACCAAAATCTGACCCTATTGAGTTCAATACAAATCTGGGTTTTATAGGGGAAGGGGGATAGGTGGTCAAACAAGAGTTATTAAATAAGGTCATATTTGATTTTTCTTCTAAATTTAAAAGTATTTGTAATGAGTCTATATAACTCGTAAAAAGCACTCAATCAAATCTCTTTCCCCAAAATTTCTTAGGAGGGAGGACCCACCCAAATCACCGCTCGCTTGGCCCGCATCTTTCGCCATTAAATTTTCAGGAAATTCGAAAGTTGTTGCTTAAGCCATGTATATTAAAACGCTGTAGTTACAAATGTTCATACATTTATTGTACTCATCGAAATAATGGTAAATCAAAAACATTGAGTAAACATTGTTGAAATATAGTGTCATGCCTAACAATGAGACAATAAATATTGTATATTTTATGATTAATTTATATTCATTGTTAACCTTATTTACATGGTCATGAAACAACCAATAAAAATTTAACCAATATGTTTTCAGTTTTTGAAATTAAAGTTATGACCTATTTACTGTACTTCAAATATTTGCTATTAGGTTGAATAAGTCACAATACTGTTCAGTATAAATGACAAAATATTTTTGTATTTTTTCCTTTCTAAGAAACCAATCTCATGTAAAATATTTTCTGGTGAATGCGAAATCAGACTTTTTGCAAGTAAAGTAAAACCTGTATAAGTAGAACACCTGTGGCACTTTTAATAAGTGTTCTACTTGTGAGGTGTTCGACTTATAGAGGTTTCATTTATCATTAAGTCAGTTGATCATGAGACTCTGAAGTGTTCAACTTACAGAGGTGTTCAACTTTCAGAGGTGTTCCACTTTACATGTTTTACTGTACATCAATACACCTTTTGTGAGTAAATTATAAAATATATAGGGTGATATATGTATTCAGTATATTAGATTGATTAATCATTAAAGATCATAAAAGGTTATTGTATTGGTGTACAATATATACAATTGTTCATTTTGTCATGGCTGCAAATAGTAGAGTTCACAATAAAGTTGTAAATTTTTTTTTGATTGATTGAATTTCATTCTGGTAGATCTGGAAATTGGTTGGAAATTGTATTTCAGAAAAATGTATTTTTTATTTCAAATCAATGACAGTTTTTAGTGTTAAAGGGATGTTAGTCAGATTCAGTATTTCATTGCCAAGTTTCGAATATTAGGTTAACTATTAAAATTGTATCCCTCCACTAAGACCCATGACCCACTTTCTCTATATACAGTATATAATTTAAACAGTCAACCTCTAGTTAGGTCAATAGTAGTATACTGTACACTCTAAACTTCTCTAATGTATATATGCGCAATATGATGCCTTAACAATGAGTATTAAAGCAAGTGGGTGCAGCACCCACCTGAGATTTTAAAAATAGGTTTGCACCCACCTGAAAATTCATTTACACCCACTTGAAAATGAGAAAAATCATGAATATAATATGGGCATAATTTGACCAATTTTGGTCTGAATTGTGAAAATGAGAATTTTTCACCCACTTGAGAAAAATCCTGTTGAGATCACTGCTTAATCAATCAACATTGTCATTTCAGGATGTGGTAACGGAAAATACCTCGGCATCAACAAGGACATCTATATCTTAGGCTCAGACCACTGCCATAAACTCGTGGAAATATCTGCATCTAAAGGCCACAATGCGATGCTTTGCGACAACCTACAACTTCCTTATAGGGATGGTATTTTTGATGCGGTGATATCCATAGCAGTAATCCACCATTTTTCTACCGCAGAACGTCGTAATATGGCCTTAAGAGAATTGGCGAGGATTCTACGTCCTGGTGGAGTGTTGATGGTCTACGTATGGGCAATGGAGCAGGAGAAAAGAAAGGTATTCATTCATTTGTAGAGGTTATCCTATATGAGGGTCAGGATATTCGGATTATCCCTCAACATACAGTGAAACCTGTAAGCGAAACACCTCCAGAAGTAGAACAACTCTGTTAGGTACCAAAGGTGTTCCATTTAGACAGGTTTTACTGTATATAGTTTATTATACAGATACATTCTACTGGTACATTTTAAAGATAAAATATGTGCCTCATTTGTGTACAATACACATACGTCTTAGACATTTCATTTAATATAAGGGATGGTTTCACAATATAACATACATTCTATACCAATTATCAGGCTACGCTACAAAGAACATAACAGTAATTCAAGAAAAGCAATGGCTTGTGGCCGCAGTACAGTTTATTGCAATGTGATGTAATTCAGGTACATGCAAACATGGACAGTAACACAATACGTAGGCGAGACACGCTGTTTTAAAAGAACGAGTTGCACGCAAGACATTAGACACTTATGAATATTCCATTAAAATGGACTCCCTCTGCAAAATTAGTTCTAATTAAGTCGATTGATTTTCGGAGTTGTTTACACCATTAAAACCTCAAAATTTTGAGGAGCTCTTAATTGCAAGGCCTAAAAGGTATGCAACAACTCTTGGACCTATCGACTGTGTGATATAAAGTCTAGTAATGAAAGGAATTTACCTTGCGGAGCCAAGAGCCAGAATGATGTGTACAAACCTAACAACACAGCTCACTAAACAGCTAATAACAATGCAGCTCGCAGCTGGATCAAAGTCGTGTTCGATTTTCACGACAAATACATGTACTACACCCCACAATAACTATAGAAATTATTTATATTCTAAATTCGTAAACTCTACCGAATATAAATTACAAAGAACAAAGGGCACACCAGTGCAGTATAGATTCACACCAATATATCATCATACACAGCCAGTGCTTCTATGGTAATTGAAATATGATACATACCGCAGTCTAAGATAATAAAGACATATTAAATGCATCATGTACTATCTGTGTATTGTGCATGTATATTCAACAGTTGTTCATTGGGATATAATTATTTCTTAGCACTAAACACAAATCAATATTTCTAGTATTATGTTATCGCGTAATCACACTCGTAGGAACATCTGCCTATGACATACTCTTTCATAGGCATGCATATGTATTATCCATTTCTTATATGTGAGTTCAAGGGAGATATCAATTTGAGTCAAAGAAAAGGTGTTAATGGATATACATATATTAGTGATATCCCCAGCATTGAATCAAGTGGGCACTGCACCCACCTGAGAATATTTTTCACCCACCTGAGATTAGTTTGCACCCACTTGAGAAAAATAACGAAAATGAGACACGTTTTGACAAAATTTGGTCTAAATTGTTAAATTAAGAATTTTGCGTCTACATGTACTTCAAAAAAATCCTGGAGAAAAAAGCTTTTTATACATTTGTGTTTTGATGATTTGGCTATAAATTCTCATTCAAATTTTAAAGATTCAATACCATTTCATTACTTACTGTATCTTTCAGGGATCAGCCATTGGATCTTAAGGGACCTCAGACCTTTTAACCCCATCCAGATTTTTTTTCAAAACGTGGGAATTCCTTTTTCTATGCACATTAGTAAATGCAGTTACATATGTGGTTGGTCTTTTATTGAACATGTGCCATATGTCAAAATCTAGATGATTTTGAACCAGCCTTGTTCCAGTATGAAGGAACTGTTAGACATGGATATTTATCTATCCATACCAAAAATTGTTTAATATCCAGGCCCAGTATATGTTTCTTATAGTCAGTCATTTAATTCTATTATTACCACCTTGCCAGTTCTAGGGGTTTAGAAGTCATTCATTTTACTATATTGACCTGAGCAATATGTGACGTCATAGTGGCAGTCCATAATGGCGGTCAATAATGCAATTAATGACCTGCAATTTCCCCGGGAAACTAGATATCGTTCAGTGCGTAAGATTTTCTTGCTATTTCAGCCCTGATCATTAACGGTGGTAATCATACTATCTGGCCCAAGGTCCAATATTTCACTATATTGCCCTTGGAAATGACGTTATTGTACTATTTATCCAAGTCACAACACTGTGGATGACTCCACATACTTGATAAGTGAATTCAAACTTATTGTTCAGCTCTCTATTTGTGTAACAAGTGTTCAGCATCATTTGTGACATATTGTTACAATTTTGTTATCATTTGCATGTGATGAAATATTGTTACAATAATACTTGTTTTATATTTTAGTTTGAAGCTCAGGATATCCTAGTTCCGTGGCAGTTACATCCGAGACATAGACGAAGAAGAAGTGAGTAGTCTTATACATTTTTATTGTATGATCTGTAACATGAAGCCTTCTGATTGGTCATTTCTTGTGCTGTACCAATCTGTATTGCTATTGAGATTGTCCCCATTAATCATCTCTGTCGCAATGCAGAAAATATTGGTATGGAGGGGACATTCTCATTAGCAACTAGCAATACAGAGGATCAGACGATAAAAACGTTATAGAATGATTTGAAGTGCAATACAGGATATATTCTGCTCTTGATATTCTGTATTGGCACTCGACTTCGTCTCGTTCCAATACGAAATTTCACGAGGAGAATATATCCTGTATTGCACTTCAAATCATTCAATAACTTATAATATTATTTTATTTCAGCACAAAAATAGCATATCATAGAATTCTTTCCATAGTAAACATTTAATTGCTGAACCTGGTTAAAATGTTAAATTAAAGTGTGTAGTAAATATAAAGATGTCACACTCGAGTCCTGTCAAATCCTCCCCATTATATGAGTTTATGTAGTAAATAAAGTAATGAATAAAAAAAAGTTTATGTAGTTTTTGATACTCTGACATGAGTTGAAGTTCATAGTATAGTGAAACTATCTGAACACCTCTCAATGTGAACACTTTTTCTCGATATCAAATTTGTTATCTCCCATTGACTTACATGTTTATAAAACCTTGAAATGTGAACACCTGCTAATCTGAACACTTTTGACCAGTCCCATATTAGTGCCAATACTAATACTAATTTGGATGGTTCTCAGTATAGTTTGGATTAGACAGGTTTAAGATCTCCAGTACAAGCTCCATCAGTGACGATGACTTTAAAACATAAATCATTGTATTTTGCAGGTAACAGCACCAAACAACGTGGTGAATACAAGATCTCTCTTTAAAACAAACCTCGTGCTATTTTGCAGGTAACAGCACCAAACAACGTGGTGAATACAAGATCTCTCTTTAAAACAAACCTCATGCTATTTTGCAGGTAACAGCACCAAACAATGTGGTGAATACAAGATCTCTCTTTAAAACAAACCTCATGCTATTTTGCAGGTAACAGCAGCAAACAACGTGGTGAATACAAGATCTCTCTTTAAAACAAACCTCATGCTATTTTGCAGGTAACAGCACCAAACAATGTGGTGAATACAAGATCTCTCTTTAAAACAAACCTCGTGCTATTTTGCAGGTAACAGCAGCAAACAACGTGGTGAATACAAGATCTCCAGTACAAGCTCCATCAGTGACGATGATTTCCCTAAACAAGGAAGTTTTGACAGCAGTGTTTCCGATCAAAGCCTTGAAACTGGAAGCGAATCTGAAAGTTCCACAACTCGAGAAAGCGCATCGAGTGGTACCGATAGTTCGCGTGATCCGGGGGATGAAATTCAGGTTCACAACAGGAAGTCATCCTTGCGACAGGAAGCATTGAGAATCCTTTCCAGCATACAGACTTTAACACAGGGGTTTAAATCGGGAGTGGATCCCGAGATAAGCAACGCTGTAGGAAAGGTCAAGGACACTAGTCACGTTACACTCAGGGATTCAGCTACTTGTGAAGCTGTGTATGAAACTCCGACTGTTACGCGCTTTACCTCCGATTTCCGTCCATTTTTGTCACCAAATAAGGAGAAAGTTAAAAGAAGCTACTCTGTACCTGCAACAGAGACTTTCTCCCCTAGGACATTTGTTTCTGGGAAAAATTCATCTACACGTGGGACTTCCTTACCTGGGACTCCTGCTCATAAATGCGAGAGTAAAATCACTGGTGCCGGTAATGTAAAATCAAATTCCCACAAACTTGGGACTACTTTCACTGACACTTTTATACCTAAGACCATTTCCCCTGAAACACCTAAATGTGAATGCCACTCTCAAATGAGACAGATGTACAAGGAGAAAAAATCAGCTTCGGAGGAAAAGCGATCGTTCAATTTACTTGATTTTGTCGTGTCGAAGATCACCAAGAAACGTTCCAAATCAGAGACATCTGCTGAAGATGACACTCCAAACAGAGATAAGGTTTACCAGAAACTCATACATCATATCGTGGAACACGAGGGCCACCATTTCGGAACGGAAAATGATATTTTCTCTGATATTGGTGATGAAGTATTCCAAGTGAGGGAATTTCCCCAAAGCAGTAGACCACAGCCTCGTTCTGAGAAAATTGAAAGTGAGGCTGGGACAGATAATTGCTCAGATAAGCGTCACAATAAATCTGATCTCAAAGTACAAGCAGAAAATTGCTCAGTCGAACTCTCTACATCACGCATACAGAGAAACGGCACTTTACGTGACGTACCAAATCGTGAAAAGATGCTTACTACTCAATCATTGAGTGACGCAACAATGCATTCCTCCGAGTATATCACTAATATGCCAGAATCGATCAAAGACGCAATTATATCGCAAAATGCACAGGATGGAAATCAGCCAGAAATCAAGCGCAATATTCCGAAACATAGCACTAGGAAACAAAGCTTCGAGAAACGAAACATGGACAAAAATAAATCAATCTCAGGGACAAAGAATGTTGAAACAACTGAGGAACTGCCGGGGCAGTATCAACGCTATTATCATGTCTTTAAGAAAGGCGAGCTAGTCCGTTTAATCGAGAAACACGTCAAAGAGCTTGAAGTGCTCGAATCTTATTTTGATCATGCAAATTGGTGTGTTATAGCTAGGAAAGTGCAATCTTAAGGATATGTCTTGTATTCTCCATAATAGCTTATTGTACTCGTAATCAATGGTCAGTTTTTGCAAACAGTCTACGCAATACGCAAAGTGTACGCATAAAATGTGCTGAATCTTTATTTTGATCATGCATATTGGTGTGTTATAGCTAGGAAAGTGCAATCTTAAGGATAAGTCTTGTCTTCTCCATAATAGCCTTATTGTACTCGTAATCAGAAGTCAGTTTTTGCAAACAGTCTACGCAATATGCAAAGTGTACGCATAAAAAGTGCTGAATCTTTATTTTGATCATGCATATTGGTGTGTTATAGCTAGGAAAGTGCAATCTTAAGGATAAGTTTTGCTTTCTCCATAATAGCTTATTGTACTCGTAGTCAGGGGTCAGTTTTTGCAAACAGTCTACGCAATACGCAAAGTGTACGCATACAAAAGTGCTGAATCTTTATTTTGATCATGCATATAGGTGTGTTATAGCCAGGAAAGTGCAATCTTAAGGATATGTCTTGTCTTCTCCATTATAGACTCATTGTAATCAGGGGTCAGTGTTTGCAAACACTACGCAAATATGCCTTAAGTGTACATGATGTAGTCATAAAAAAGTAAACCTATGTTTTCATTGTTTTGAAGGGTCTCATCATATGCCTTCAGTGTACTTATAAAAATGTCAAGATATGCCTACATTGTATGTTGTATATTGAAAGGGATCAAAATGTTACTTTATTGTTCTTTGAAAGACGGATAAAGTGTACTTATTAGAGACATTATATGTCGTCAGTGTACTTTGAAAAAGGGATAAAGATGATATATATTCAGTGAACTTATACCTTTGATGTTCTTTGAAAATGGTAAAATGTGCCTTCGATGTACTTTGAAAGAGTGGTGAAGCATTCAGTATACTTACTTTCAGTGTACTCATTAATGCCTGGGTCACATTTACTCCGATTCATCAGCCAGCACCCGGCTGATTGAGTATCCTGTTCACAATTGTATTCAGTTTTGAACAGAATACTCAATCGGCCTAGCGCCGGCAGATGAATCAGAACAAATGTGACCCAGGCATAAGGAGACCAAGATCTGACTTGGTATACTTAAAAAGGGGATTAGTGTTGTTGCTTGGTGAATGGAAGCTTGTGCTTATAACTCTAAATACTCCAAAAATTCTCACAATCTATAGTCTGAAATTAAAGACGCAGTATTGTAGTCCAAAGAGGCAATCTTCTAAGAGAAAAAAATTATTATATATTTTGCTATGACATGTACATGTAATATATAAATTTACTCTTAAAAATGAATTACTTGAGTATTTCCCAAGTATAAAAATTACTTAAAGTTAAATACTTAGTTTTACTTAATTTTACTTAGGTTTAACTTATATTGTCATTTTGAGTTTTTTAATGGCTTAATTATGTAAATGAGTATTACAATTACTACAGTAAGTATTTCAATTTCTCTCCTTGCATTAGTAAATTCACCATAAATGAATTACTTAAAAATTACTTAAAAATTATTCAGTGGTTCAAGATTATTTAAGTAATTTTTGACTTAAAATGAGTAGTACAATTTCTCAATATAAGGAAATCCAAGTAATAATTTTTAAGAGTGTTGGGTTTTGAGTTATTAGAGGCTTTTCAAATAATGAGGTGCAATTTTCCTTGTTGATTAGATGTCTTCCTTATCCAGTTATCAAGCATGTTTACATTTTCTCAAAAATACCATAAATTGGGTTAAGTTGGATTGGACAGGTTTTATTGTACATTATGCAGGCACGTAGCCAGGATTTGCCTAGGGGGTTCACTTTTTGGAAAATTCCAGGGGGTTCACTTTTGACAATTTTGGTCCAGAAATGCCCAAAATCACTTAAAAAGTGCTCAGAATGGTGAAAAACTGCATGATTTTGAAAGAATTTTTGGCCCATCGAGCCCCCCCCCCCCATCCCCCCCAGCTACAGGCCTGTTATTCTCTGGCAACTTGTCCTTGTTAATTCCTCTATTTCTTCACTATAATATAAACTATAGAGCATTTAAAACATAACTACCACATTTTACACATTTCAGTTGCAGCATTTCAGATTCAGATTTATATTTTTGAAATATTTGGTTTGTAAAAGTATATTTTTGATGTATTTTACCTTGTAGTATAAATATACCTTTCAAGAAGAATAACAATGAGATGTGTGAAATTTTTTTTGACTTCTCAATGTTAATATACATTTCCATGACAACTGAGTTGTAAATATCGAGAGTGTACAATTTTGTCAAATTTAATCTTAATAACCTAAAGATTATAAAATTGAGACTGTTGTAGCGTAGAAAAATTGAGACAGTCCTTGGTGAGAGCAGGTACATAATAAAGACAAAATAACAAAAGAAATTGCAAAATTTAATGTTGTTATAACACTAAAATCTGGATTTGAAAGTTCGAAAAGAGAACAGTGAAAATTAAGAATGTTCTAAAAAGTTGAACACAAAAATCATAGACTTGTTCGAATAAAGAGCAGTCAAAATTTAGAATGTTCTAAGTAAGAACATGAAAAAAATAATTCTAATAACATTTTGAAAAGTGGATCAAATGTTTAATATAGCATACTCACAGTGTTATAGCATGACGGTTACGCCACCTCTGCAAATCGCCTTGACGTAACCATAATGCTATAACACCGTGATACTGTAAATTGCTAAATGTACCTGCAGTAGAGCTTTGTGTACATGTATTAAGTGTTGGGACCAGAAATCTTGATCTCATGTATTATTGTAACTTAAAGGGGCAATAAAATATAGATGAGCTTAGGTAACTTTTTGAAAGATTTTTTTTAAATTTTTTATCCGACAATTCATCATGTTGTCCAAGAAATCTTACTTTAAAAAAATGAATCGATTTTTATTACTGTCAGCTGGCAATAATTAGGAAAAATGGACATTCTCTCCTCTCCTTTGAATAACTTCGTTTTTATCAGAAATCCTTAATACGGTTACATGTGTGATGACTGAGGATATTTTAACCTCTGTATACTTCATTCATGTCCAGAAAAAAAACTGTAGAATCAGTTGAATCTGAGAAAACCAATTTTGGGATGTACAGAATTTTATTTTCTTTAAAAATGTAGATCTGAGAATTCTGATCCTGGGATAACCAGTAATATCAGATTCTGTAAAAACTGAAGAATCTGTAAGACAGAATTTTCAGATTTTTAAAAACTGAAAACAGTGCCATTTCTGGACATTGCTGGTATACTTTGTTGCCTCTTTAAGTCACATCTGAATATTTAAACAGCAAATTATTTTGCAAAAAACATTATGTTGCAATTATACGGAAAAAGTCAATATGGTGAAATTACCAGAGCTTTCATATAGAAAGATAATGGCTGTCAAGACTCCTATATATGTACATAGATGGCGGGGTCACCACTGGGTTGTTTAAAACTTTATTTGTTTATTTGATGATGAATTCTCCGAGTTGCCAAGTACCTGAATATATTGTAAACTTTTACTCCAAATGATTAACAATGCAATACAATTTTTGAACCAACAAATATTATGCTTCAGTTTCAGGTTTACCTGATTTATTCGAAACTAGTATTTCCATTGATACTGTAGCACCTATCTTGCTGATTTGTTAATGTTATTGTCTGTCACCATAAGGTAATTAAGTAAAATAACTTATTTTACACTTTTGAGAACAAGTTTTAACCCATTGAAGTTCTGCCATCTATTGACAGTCAGGGCCATTATTATCAATGGTGCAAATACAGTGAAACTAAATGGAAATGTGATTCTGTGGAGGCTTTGGTTTTGTCAGAATGTTGCAATGTGAGGAAAAAATTAATTGAATTCATTTTCCCAAATTGAATACTCTGCAATTGTGCAATGTAGAATTAGTAAGTTTATATATTATATATCAATGGAAAGCTATACCCAAATATTTTTACGCTGCTGCACTTAATGCATGCACAATATTTGCTAATGTTTGGCCTCATTTTAATGAAGTATTTGGGTATGTGATAGTTAAAATGAATCAATAAAATGTACCTACTTTCATTCAAAATACCCACTCAAACAGCAAATAACTTTAGCTTTACAAGTAAAGTAAAAATTTCTCATTTCATAGTTAGGGGAAGATATGCATCTAGATATACTGTAGAATTTAGATAGTTGAAATTAAGCCAATGGACCGTAGCATCTAGGTATATATAGGCCAATGGATTTTAGATGTATGTTGACTCAGTCGAATGTATATACTTTTGTTTGTAACGCTAACCTAAGTCAGAATAGTTGCAGTTTGTTTAAGTAAGTATACTCACAGATTTGCATAAAATGTTCTTCAAGTGCTCGTTAATTGGCAGCCTTAAGTAAATCATCTGTGTTGTTTGTATATCTAGATTTATTGTATGATCTGTAAAATGAAGCCTTCTGATTGGTCAGTTCTTGTGCTGTACCAATCTGTATTGCTACTGATATTGTCCCCATTGATCATCTCCGTTGCAATACAGAAAATATTGGTACGGAGGGGACATTCTCAGTAGCAATAAGAGGATCACACGATAAAAACGTTATAGAATAATTTGAAGTGCAATAGAGGATATATTCTGCTCTCGATATTCTGTTTTGGCACTCGACTTCGTCTCGTTCCAATACGGAATTTCTCGAGCAGAATACATCCTGTATTGCACTTCAAATCATTCAATAACTTATAGTATTAGCATAGAGGATTCACATTTAAATTCATGAGTCTTTACACATATTTTCAATAGAAGTAACTAAGAATTGTTGGTACATGGGGTTTAAGTGTCAACAGTTGTAGCTTTTTCAAACTTTATACTTACTACTCAAACAAGATTTTGAAATAGATTTTCACCAAAACTGTAGAGCATTTCGTTTATTCCAATAATTGTATTTTGTTCAATGTTTTGGAAGCATGGTCCACCTTTGTGGATTGGATAGATGTAGGACCACATTGTACTAGGTATATATTAGGACAAATCATACAAATGCATTTTTCTAGTCAGTCAAATAGTATGTATAATATATGTAATAATGTTTAAAATAATAAAATTATTGTTCAATCATTCCTATACATTGTGTTTTGTACATTGACTTAAACAACAAGTTATAATTTCTATTATATTCATGTTTAAGCTGCTAGTTATTTTATTTTGTCACCAACAGAAGTTGTGGCATATTGTTATAGTTTCCAACTTTTTTGTGGATGGCAGAGTTCAGCATCTGTAACAAATGGCAGGTGGTGACTTTGCATGTTAATACCTCGTTCAATAATATCTATCTCCTTATTTTTTTCTTATTTTCATTCCCTTTCGAGCAATTCCATAAAAACATGATTTCTTTTATTTACATTTTATATAAATATACAAGCATACATACATTATTCAATTCACTTAATACTTTATATTAACAGTACATGTACATGTTCTTTATACATTCAATATGTTACACACATAAAATATTTACATTACTATGTACCATGTGTACAGTGATGCACTTTGAGTTTGAAAGTTTTTTGCATCTAGCTCATTAATGGATGGACTATTGTAAAACAGCAAAACAATAAGTTTCTCAGTTATACACAATAAAAAGTAATGAACTCCTTTTAACTGTATACAGCATTATATACATATTATACAGATATACATGTACATACATTTACAGTATTATTTTATACACTTAATTACATTCCACAGTTTTAGAGAATGCGATTCACATGTACTTATGATTCATAGAATTTCATTTGATTTTAGAACAATGTACTGTTTGACCAAAATATTTTAATTTCATACGACTATTTTAATTGTCATGTCACTTGTCATGTATTACACTGGGCTTTCCGAAGAAGTTTACCATGCATATTTAGGTAGCGATCTGAGGCACTTCGATCAGGGTGTTGTCCTTGACCAAAAGAAAGAAGCATTGGTTGTTTAGTTTTTGTTTTATAGCTAAATAATAATGTACCCCCAAGAAATCTGAATTTTAGGGTCAAAAATGCAATTTTAAGTCACAAGAGAAATTCCCGACAACACCCTGATCGAAGTGCCTCAGATCGCTACCTAATTGTTTATCATAGCTCCAAACCTCTTTCATATCTCTAGATTCTAGTGTTTTTTAATAATCATCGTGCAATGTTTATGTTCATTTTATGTCAATATCACACTGTTTCTTCATATGGACGGAATATTCAATTTGCTGCCTTAAAAATGTTCATAATACTATTCATGTAATACATTCACTGATCTGTAGTTTCTTTGGTTTTCAACAGTAATTTTGAGTTTTGCTATCTGTTCATACTTTGTATCTCAATTGCTCTTTTATAGTCACTTATGGCGCCATCTTTTATTCCTTGTTTTCCCCGAACATCAGCACGTCTCTTATAGACAAGCGCATCATCAGGCTGGAGCTCAAGAGCTGGAAATAATAATCAGAGGGTCATTTCTAAAAACATTTCATGAATTCAATGTTAAGTTTTTCAGGAAACTAACTTTGTTATAAGGGAGGAGTAATATTCCATTTGTCCAAATGTATTCATCGGTTAGGTAAAGATGATTAATTTGTATTACTTTCCTCAAATCACTAACCAAATAACTTACGTTTTCGAGCTTTCGGTAGCAGCTACTACCTTTGTCAAGATGATATATTAGCGGGAAATGGGCTGACCCTTGACCTGGTTTGGGTTTTACTCCTGTGTAGTTCCAACAGTCCCGGGAAGACCTTAAATCCAGAGTCCCTGTTAAGTTGTGGCTTGCTTGTATGAATATGAAGTGCTTCCTTTACTTTCCGTTTAAAGTAATGGGGTTCTCTATCTAGAATTTTGTACTCCCAGTTAATCCTATGCGCTTTGGAAACTATATGTTCAGCGATGGCGGATTTATTGGGATTGTTCAGTCTAAAAGCGTCCTTGTGTTCCTTAATTCTTGTATCAAACGCTCTACCGGTTTCACCTATGTAGCGTTCACTACAGTCCTTACATTCAATTTGGTATATTAATCCTGATCTCTCACCTGTAGGGGTGGGATCTTTGGGTGATACTAACATTTGACGTAAGGTTTGAACAGACTTAAAACTAGTCTTAACTCCTGCTTCTTGAAAGATGCGTTGAAGTTTGGGAGCAATAGTACTAATATAAGGTAACACTACACTAATTTCCCTATCTGCACTGTCACTAGGAGGTCTATCTCTAGGCGCAGCTGGTGCTTGGTTTAGATAGAGAACCCCATTACTTTAAACGGAAAGTAAAGGAAGCACTTCATATTCATACAAGCAAGCCACAACTTAACAGGGACTCTGGATTTAAGGTCTTCCCGGGACTGTTGGAACTACACAGGAGTAAAACCCAAACCAGGTCAAGGGTCAGCCCATTTCCCGCCAATATATCATCTTGACAAAGGTAGTAGCTGCTACCGAAAGCTCGAAAACGTAAGTTATTTTGGTTAGTGATTTGAGGAAAGTAATACAAATTAATATTCCATTTTATGTTAAAAAAGCATTGGAAAACATTGCCTTCAAAGGTTAAGCAAAATAAACTACTGACCATTCTGCATCTACAGACAAATATTTCAAATAACTCTCAAAAGTATGCATATATGTCACATAATGCAAGTTTTTCCATTACCTTTAGTGTAATCTTTTTCAGCCAAGTCATACTGTTTCATCATTGAATAGAGATTTGCTCTGTTGAAGTACATATGGGCTGAATGAGGGCTAAGTTTGATTGCTTGTTGGAAGTCTTCTATAGCAGCATTAGAGTCACGTAGCATTACATTGGTGATTGCACGATTTAGATATGCAGACTCGTCACGATCACCAAACTGTATGGCTTTGTCATAATAGACCTTTGCCTGGAAGGTGGACATGATTTTATTTAGAAATTCAAATGAAGCAAAACAGAATGAAATGCATTTAATAAATAATGGTACAAATACATCAAGTACAAAAATCATGAATAAAAAACTCTAAATGTTGTTTTCAGATTTTTTATAGGTTTCTCATCTTGTGAAATAATAGTTTCAAATAAAAGAAATTGCAAAATTGCAATTGATAATTGTAATGACATGTGTAAAAGATAATATAATACTATAAGTATAAAGCAGATCTTGAATCAAATATCAAATTCAATTATCAAATAAGATCAAACAAATTTTTACCTGTTTGAACTGCCTCATTGCAAAGTAGACATTTGCAGAATTGAAGTAAGCTAGAGAATAAGTGGCGTCTAATTTTATAGCAGACTGGTAATCCCGCATTGCATTGGCTCTATCATTCATGTACTGAAATAAATAAATCATGCTTTATTAGTATTTTCAATAGCGTAAGAAGTGGGAACGCCATTGGTCAATCTACTCGTTTTTGTATTTTGTTTACTGCTTTATTTTAGTCAAGTAATACCTCATTGGTATATTCCAAATGTTATGTATTTTACACTCGAAAACAGAGACAGAAACCCCTCCTTGAAGTTTCCAGAGTTCTTTTATGTGTAACGGTACACAAACATACATGTACAAGTACACACCATAGACAAGTTGTGGACCAGTCAAACACCCTGAATTACATCATGCACAAAGAGATTTTGTCTGAACTGGGAATTAAACCTGTGGCCAAGCAATAGTGGTAGCATAATTCTATGATGGAGTAAATACAATGTTTTGATTTTTTTTGTTTTTATTAAAAAGCACAAAAAGACCTTTCAAATGAGCCATGGCTTGTGTCTTAACACTTTTTCCTTGCAGATATAGACCAAATAGATGGATTTAAATTGAGCACATTTTCCTCTAAATCTTGGGCACATTTTTGGTTCTGATGCACAATATTTGTGATAAGACCGGTTTTCCTATGGCGAGGCTCATAAAATACTGGATGGGTATAGTGTTGTACCTGGTGTATGACTCCCCTGTTTGTCAGCAATTCTGCAGTTGGAGATATATTCACAGAGGTATTGATGTCTTGGTATGCTGCAAATGTATCTGACATTTGGAGGTTCACTATTGCTCTACCCTCAAGAGCAGGTTTGAATTCTGAAACAAATATATAAATATTACAACTAATGGAGAATACATGTTAGTTATACAGTATGGAGAATTCATGTTAATTATACACTAGTTCTGCAGTTGGGGATATATTCACAGAGGCATTGATGTCTTGGTATGCTGCAAATGTATCTGACATTTGGAGGTTCACTATTGCTCTACCCTCAAGGGCAGGTTTGAATTCTGAAACAAATATATAAATATTACAACTAATGGAGAATACATGTTAATTATACAGTATGGAGAATACATGTTAATTATTCAGTAATTCTGCAGTTGGAGATATATTCACAGAGGTATTGATGTCTTGGTATGCTGCAAACTTATCTGACATTTGAAGGTTCACTATTGCTCTACCCTCAAGGGCAGGTTTGAATTCTGAAACAAAGATATTACAACTTACAGTGTATTGCACTATATAAGGGTATAGCATATACAGGTTCATGAAATAACCTTTTATTAGATTGACCAATTGGTTCTTGTTGCAGTCAATTATTCCCAATGACTCAGTATGTTTTAATAAACTAGGTATACTGTATAGATTCACTTCTGCTGTACACTGTAGTGGTTGATCCTTTTGCTTTTGTATCCATATAATGCGTACACTAATTATACTATTAAATTTACAAGCATATTTGGTTCTGAATTGGTCATTCTTTTAAAATTAGCTTAACTTACTTATTGCTTAGACAAAGTGACTGAAGAATATAAGAGAACATGTATGAACTATGATATGCCTTACTTGGATTAATCTCAATGGCCAATGTAAACTGTTGCCATGCCAACTGGAATTTCCCAGTAACCTGTAGATTGTACGCCAGGTTAACTCTGGCCTGGAGACATGTGGGATCTAATTTTAAGGTTCTCTGATAGTCATTTCTGAAACAGATAAAAGTAATATGCAACAACTGTTTACATTATAAAATAGGGACAGATTGAGATGGATTACAACTAGATAACGGCAACTCCGCAGAGTAGCAAATCCCAACGAATAAAATATCAATTACCGAATTCCAATCAATTATACTCATTACTTTTGGTTGAAAATGAAAAAATTAGATTTTAGAATTGCGAATTCCTGCAAAGCAGCCATTTTGAATTTTCTGAGGTACAAATCTGAAAAATAATACCATAATTGTGATCTACTCCAAAATTCCTTCAATTTGAGTATAATATAGCCATACTTTGAAGGGATCGAAAAATTATTGCGAAATCGTACATTAGACGGCCATTTTGAATTTTACGAGGCTCGAATCAGAAAAAAGATACAATATTTGCAATCTACTCTTAATTGCCTTTCATTTGAGTATAATAAAGCTATACTTCAGAAAGATCTAAAAATTAGCGAAAATTTCTGTTTTCCTGTCCCCCCATACATGTCCCCTGGGGGTCAGGATGAAAAACACGGAATATATGTGAAATAGATAAATCTTGTGAATACACTACCAAAATTTCAAACAATAATATTAATTACTTTGGTTTAGAATGAAAAATTTATGATTTTTGCGAAAAAGTCCCGTCATTTTTAAAGCGGCGGCCATCTTGAAAATTTTTTTTTTTGCGTAAAACTATTCACCAATATACATCTTTCCACTAAATATGAAGAAAATCTGTCAACTAGTATTTGAGTTATCTTCCGGACAGACGGACGGACTGACTGACTGACTGACGGACTGACGGACAGACGGACGGACGGACGGAGGGCTTCACTATATCCCTAACGAACTTCGTTCGTTGGGATTACTCTTACTTGAATATCTGTATTTCAATTCATCCCAGAGTTGAGGTTAAATGTATATGATAGCATGCAATTATGCAAAATCCCTACAAGGCATTAACATGCAAAATGTCACCACCTGCCATTTGTTACAGATGCCAACCGCCGAACACCATCCTCAAAAAGGTTCAAAGCCATAACAATATGTTATTATGGTGACATAATAATACAGAGAATATGCCACTGGTTTTAATCACTTAAAAGTAAAGGATATCCTATATTAACATTGTGATAACAAATACCCAAATTTTTTTCGATATTAGGTCAAACAAAAATTAACATCTACTTGGAGCTGACCATGATAAACATTTGCTCCTTACTTAGCAAACATGTGTCCAAAAGTGTGGCCGTAGTCCATGAAGACATTTCCACGTCCTATGTAGGCATCCAAGAAGAACATGTCCAGCTCAATGGCCTTTGTGAATGACTTCACTGCATCTTCAAGACGATTAAGCCTGAAACAAGAAAATGTCATATCAAAATTTGCCAAGTCAGCAGAAAAGGTTTACGACATACAGAAGATATCACAATGTTTGATTCTGAAGAGGAGGGTATATAATAACGATAAATACATAGAAAAAACCTTCCACCCCATTTCCAAAGCTTGCCTATCTGCCATCAGACTCTAATTTTAACAATCTTATTCTTGAAATTAGATATGTGTGTATTGCGAAAATGATGTAACTGCACCCTGTAAGCGATTGAGTCTAGTGCAAGCAAATATCTGAATACTTGTGGTAACATACAGCTAGAAAAACGGTGCAGTATGAGACTCACAATCCTTGATTTTCAAACACCTGGTAGGGGTAAAATTCAAATTAACAGTAGTAGTTGGGACCTGTGTGTAAAGAATCGTTTATCAGGCAAACTTACTTGTGGTAACATAGAGCTAGGGTATGGTGTATCTTCTGGTCCCAGGGACAGACTTTAGCAGCTAGTAAGAAGTCATGAAGGGCATTCTTATAATCCTTTCTGTCAAAGTACAACAGACCTCTATTTACCAATACCTGCAAAATAAAGCACATTTAAAATCAAAACAGATAGACAAGATAGAGTAATATTCTTAAAACTTTTACTTATAAACTAAAATTGTTATCTAATGTTATTATCATGATAGAAAATATTTTGCAATGTGTGAAAAGAATTTAAGCCCAAGACTCGATGCATTGTGGAATGACCATTCCTTTCAGACGTTGCTTCCTAAAATTAACACTCGATGCTCCGCATTTCCTGCAAATTTTGGAGAGCAACATCTTCAAGGAATGGTCATTCCACATTGCACTGAGTCCAGGGCTTAAATCCTTAATTCAAACTGAACATTATATCTGAAACATCCTCAATGGCCAGTGGTCACAACCACTATCAAATTACAATCTACAGCACAGCCTCGAAAAGTAAGACCTTTGTAGATGTCTGAGCACTAGACTGATAGCATACTCACCTTCCCATAGACATCCTGTTGTTAGGTGCAACAATAAAAACAAACACAATTAGACTAATTATTTTTATTCATCTAATAATGATTCTACCCATTTCTATCTAAAGACTATGTATAGTGTGTCTAAGAAATAACATAAAAAGCGTGTTTTATACTAATGTGTGTGTAGTGCTATTCTGAAGGTGTACAAAGAAAGAGATAATGGAAGATATATTGGGTTCAAAATGATCCATGTCAAGAGAAGACAGACTTTGGTGAGGGGAAGATGAGAGGAAAATGATATGAGAGATGACAGATATGAACAAATATTGACAAGTGATATATGACTATCAATGATACATGTAGAAGCGAAGACATTTAAAGGCACTAACATGCAAAATGTCACCACTTGCCATTTGTTACAGAGGTTGACCACAATCTACCAATTTTGGTGACATAAAAAATCAATGAAGTAATGGGTATGGAGAAAGAATGGATTCAATTAAAGTCAGAAGCGAATGTTGTGCTTTAATTTGTAGCATGGGCTTTCAACTCTAATTGAAAGCCCATAATTGTAGGTTGAGATATTTTTACTAAGTTAGGGTTTCTTAAACTATGACATATTTTTATGACATGTTTCTTTCAGAACAGTGTTTTGCTTAAATCTACAAAGAAAATAATAATAGACAAATATATCACTCCAGTATTTTTGCAGGGTTCACTGCCCAAATACTGTACTGCAATATAGAGTGATATAGTATTGCCTTAACATTTAGAAGAAATATTTGTTTTAATATATCATTGCTAGGCATTCCCTTAAGGATATCATGAAGCATTTTCTATTCACATTTTTTTAATTCAAAAACTGGGAGAGTTTGGAAATATACTTCATTTTTCACGACCACATGATATGACACTAACCAATCAAAACAGAGGAATTCTAACAATGATATAGTAATCACACATATCATGTTTTTGTATCACATATGACAGAATAGAATTACTTGTTATTAGAATGCACACTAAATACACTAGCCTACATATTACAATGTTAAATATCATTTCAATATTAAACATCACCTTGTCACAAGCATTTCTGTCCTAGATAAAAGCATACGCAATCTAATTATATCAATACCATAAGGACATTATTATACACAACATTTTCACATTTAATTTAATTTTTTCAAAATTTAAGCACTATGTTGAAACACTAAGCACTAAGTTAGTACTGCTATAATAATAGGCTTGTTTTGCTATAGCCACATGAAAATATTTCTGTAACTTTGATCAAATAGACTTAACCCTGAAGTTAAATATCAGCCTGGTCATGGCTTTCTTTTAAATTTCGATTCGGTACAGTAAAATATGGTACCATAGACTCAAATAGTACTGTTTAGTACCGAGAACACTGTGCAGTACCATTCTTGAATAGTATGGTATAGTACCATACTCTTAATGAACCACACAGTAAGTTGAGTACAGACTGGGGAGTATAGGACTATGAAATATACTTTATAATGAATGGAATCATTTTTATTTGGAAAACATGAGACCATCCTGAACTTCACTTCAGAGCAATTAAGCTCAATTTAAGAAAAACAATGAAGAAATGGAGGGTTGCATTTTTTGGGTCACTCTGTATATCAATTGCTCTTAGTAGTCTGGTATCAAATCGTTTGTTCAACCCCTCCTCAAACATCAATCCAACAAAATTGAGGCAAAATGATTTGATGCAGAAATACATAAGAGCATTGGCATGTTATACAAAAGCAATCTGAGATGATTAAAGGAATGACATACCTTTAGCAGGAGCTGGTCGCCAATCAGGAGAACAATTCCATAATCATTCAAGGCCTGTAAAAAGTTGTAGATTAATTGTTGTAAATTTCTTATCATACCAAATTAATTTTCAGCTTGTTTCTTTCTAATGTAATTTGCATGTCTATTTCTATCAATTTGATTTGTTGAAATATAAATGAAAAAATAGATTTTAAATGTTTTTGAAAAATTCCTCAGTGTAACCTCTAAGGGTACTTTAAGTCAAATGTATAAAGTTAAGATGGACTATTCAAATGTTATAATCACAACACTTAATTGAGACTGTAGTTATTTATTTTGAACATCTATTTGCTTTTGAAGTATTAACTGATTTTAGATGTTTTTGAAAATTCATGAGTGCAACCTCGAACGGTTATTTTTGGGTCAAATGTATAAAGGAAGATGGACTATTTAAATGTTATTATCACAACTCTTAATTTAGACTGTAGTAATTTATTTTGTTGTTCTGTTGTACCTTTGCATAATCCTTGCTTTCATGATAGCACACAGCCCTGTTGAAGTAGGCGAGTGAACACTGGTTGTCTATTTTAGTTGCCTCTGTCAGATCTCTTATAGCAAGCATATATGCCTTGATGTGGAACTTCAGAGCACCTCTACAATAATAAAAAAGAACATATGTGTACAGAACAGATCTCTTATAGCAAGCATGTATGCCTTGATGTGGAACTTCAGAGCACCTCTACAATAATACAGAACATATGTGTACAGAACAGATCTCTTATAGCAAAGCATATATGCCTTGATGTGGAACTTCAGAGCACCTCTACAATACAGAACATATGTGTACAGAACATATCTCTTATAGCAAACATGTATGCCTTGATGTGGAACTTCAGAGCACCTCTACAATAATACAGAACATATGTGTACAGAACATATCTCTTATAGCAAACATGTATGCCTTGATGTGGAACTTCAGAGCACCTCTACAATAATAAAAAACATATGTGTACAGAACAGATCTCTTATAGCAAGCATATATGTCTTGATGTGAAACTTCAGAGCACCTCTACAATAATACAGAACATATGTGTACAGAACAGATCTCTTATAGCAAGCATGTATGCCTTGATGTGGAACTTCAGAGCACCTCTACAATAATAAAAAAGAACATATGTGTACAGAACAGATCTCTTATAGCAAGCATGTATGCCTTGATGTGGAACTTCAGAGCACCTCTACAATAATAAATAACATATGTGTACAGAACAGATCTCTTATAGCAAGCATATATGTTTTGATGTGAAACTTCAGAGCACCTCTACAATAATAAATAACATATGTGTACAGAACAGATCTCTTATAGCAAGCATATATGTTTTGATGTGAAACTTCAGAGCACCTCTACAATAATAAATAACATATGTGTACAGAACAGATCTCTTATAGCAAGCATATATGTCTTGATGTGAAACTTCAGAGCACCTCTACAATAATACAGAACATATGTGTACAGAACATATCTCTAATAGCCAGCATATATGCCTTGATGTGGAACTTCAGAGCACCTCTACAATAATAAAAAAGAACATATGTGTACAGAACAGATCTCTTATAGCAAGCATGTATGCCTTGATGTGGAACTTCAGAGCACCTCTACAATAATAAAAAAGAACATATGTGTACAGAACAGATCTCTTATAGCAAGCATGTATGTCTTGATGTGGAACTTCAGAGCACCTCTACAATAATAAAAAAGAACATATGTGTACAGAACAGATCTCTTATAGCAAGCATGTATGCCTTGATGTGGAACTTCAGAGCACCTCTACAATAATAAAAAAGAACATATGTGTACAGAACAGATCTCTTATAGCAAGCATGTATGCCTTGATGTGGAACTTCAGAGCACCTCTACAATAATAAATAACATATGTGTACAGAACAGATCTCTTATAGCAAGCATATATGTTTTGATGTGAAACTTCAGAGCACCTCTACAATAATACAGAACATATGTGTACAGAACAGATCTCTTATAGCAAAGCATATATGCCTTGATGTGGAACTTCAGAGCACCTCTACAATACAGAATATATGTGTACAGAACAGATCTCTTATAGCAAGCATGTATGCCTTGATGTGGAACTTCAGAGCACCTCTACAATAATACAGAACATATGTGTACAGAACAGATCTCTTATAGCCAGCATATATGCCTTGATGTGGAACTTCAGAGCACCTCTACAATAATACAGAACATATGTGTACAGAACAGATCTCTTATAGCAAGCATATATGTCTTGATGTGAAACTTCAGAGCACCTCTACAATAATACAGAACATATGTGTACAGAACATATCTCTAATAGCCAGCATATATGCCTTGATGTGGAACTTCAGAGCACCTCTACAATAATAAAGAACATATGTGTACAGAACAGATCTCTTATAGCAAGCATGTATGCCTTGATGTGGAACTTCAGAGCACCTCTACTATAATAAAAAAGAACATATGTGTACAGAACAGATCTCTTATAGCAAGCATATATGCTTTGATGTGGAACTTCAGAGCACCTCTACAATAATACAGAACATATGTGTACAGAACAGATCTCTTATAGCAAAGCATATATGCCTTGATGTGGAACTTCAGAGCACCTCTACAATAATAAATAACATATGTGTACAGAACAGATCTCTTATAGCAAGCATATATGCCTTGATGTGGAACTTCAGAGCACCTCTACAATAATACAGAACATATGTGTACAGAACAGATCTCTTACAGCAAACATGAATGCCTTGATGTGGAACTTCAGAGCACCTCTACAATAATACAGAACATATGTGTACAGAACAGATCTCTTATAGCAAATATATATGAATTGATGTGGAACTTCAGACCACCTCTACAATAATACAGAACATATGTGTACAGAACATATCTCTAATAGCCAGCATATATGCCTTGATGTGGAACTTCAGAGCACCTCTACAATAATAAAGAACATATGTGTACAGAACAGATCTCTTATAGCAAGCATGTATGCCTTGATGTGGAACTTCAGAGCACCTCTACTATAATAAATGAAGGTCCCACGGTCCTATGCTCACACAGTTTGGAAACTTCAGAGGAATTTATATCCTGACTTTCAAACAAAAATATTAATTTGGATTTGTAGTCTCGAACTTTGAGAAACTTAGATAGCATAGTTGTGTGACCTAGTTTGATGACCTTTGACCTTGAAAATTTTACTTATTCAGAGCTCAGTAAGGTCTTTTGTGATTAAGCTGACCAAAATTTACATCCAAAAATCAATTTGAATAATCAACTTTTTTGACCTTTCGAAGGTCACTGAAGGTCAAGTAAAGGTCAAATCCTAAAACTAATGTCAGATTTGAACTCCTGGTAACTTGTAGATGATTTTCAAAAAAGAATTTGGTCAAATTGAAGCAAGTTGAAAAATAATGCTGACATATATTGAGAAATATGTAGGGAATGCTTAAATCTATTAATGATGTAATTTATTGCAGGAAATGATCAAGTATAAGGCAAACTTTAAGAATCTTGTCAATCACAAAACCTGCCATTGACTTTATACATGAGAAAGTTTCCTGAAAATAACTAAGTCCTACTTTTTTTCAAATTTTATAGAGTAAACACCAAAAACCGTAATTCCAAGAGCTTTGAAATCTTCAAAGGACATAAGTTGCATATACACCAACTACTAAAAGGTATTTGAAAGTTCTACTTCAACAAAGTGTCTAGTATTTACAGAAAATTTGACTTTTTGACGTCAAAATCCGCAATTTCTCGGAAACTGGGCGAACTTGGGAAATGGCGATGATAGGTCAAATAGGCATTATGGATATGCATAAAATGAATGTGGATAGGACTCAATCCGAATAGCAGTTTTAATTTGTGCGGCCAATGTTGACGGACGGACCAACGGACGGACGGACGGACGGACCAACGGACGGACGGACGGACCAACGGACGGACGGACGCCTGGTCAATCCCATAGGCTCACTGTGTGAGCCAAAAAGAACATATGTGTACAGAACAGATCTCTTATAGCAAGCATATATGCCTTGATGTGGAACTTCAGAGCACCTCTACAATAATACAGAACATATGTGTACAGAACAGATCTCTTATAGCAAAGCATATATGCCTTGATGTGGAACTTCAGAGCACCTCTACAATACAGAACATATGTGTACAGAACATATCTCTTATAGCAAACATGTATGCCTTGATGTGGAGCTTCAGAGCACCTCTACAATAATAAAGAACATATGTGTACAGAACAGATCTCTTATAGCAAGCATATATGTCTTGATGTGAAACTTCAGAGCACCTCTACAATAATACAGAACATATGTGTACAGAACAGATCTCTTATAGCAAGCATGTATGCCTTGATGTGGAACTTCAGAGCACCTCTACAATAATAAAAAAGAACATATGTGTACAGAACAGATCTCTTATAGCAAGCATGTATGCCTTGATGTGGAACTTCAGAGCACCTCTACAATAATAAATAACATATGTGTACAGAACAGATCTCTTATAGCAAGCATATATGTCTTGATGTGAAACTTCAGAGCACCTCTACAATAATACAGAACATATGTGTACAGAACATATCTCTAATAGCCAGCATATATGACTTGATGTGGAACTTCAGAGCACCTCTACAATAATAAAGAACATATGTGTACAGAACAGATCTCTTATAGCAAGCATGTATGCCTTGATGTGGAACTTCAGAGCACCTCTACAATAATAAAAAAGAACATATGTGTACAGAACAGATCTCTTATAGCAAGCATGTATGCCTTGATGTGGAACTTCAGAGCACCTCTACAATAATAAATAACATATGTGTACAGAACAGATCTCTTATAGCAAGCATATATTTTTTGATGTGAAACTTCAGAGCACCTCTACAATAATACAGAACATATGTGTACAGAACAGATCTCTTATAGCAAAGCATATATGCCTTGATGTGGAACTTCAGAGCACCTCTACAATACAGAATATATGTGTACAGAACAGATCTCTTATAGCAAGCATGTATGCCTTGATGTGGAACTTCAGACCACCTCTACAATAATACAGAACATATGTGTACAGAACAGATCTCTTATAGCCAGCATATATGCCTTGATGTGGAACTTCAGAGCACCTCTACAATAATACAGAACATATGTGTACAGAACAGATCTCTTATAGCAAGCATATATGTCTTGATGTGAAACTTCAGAGCACCTCTACAATAATAAAAAAGAACATATGTGTACAGAACATATCTCTAATAGCCAGCATATATGCCTTGATGTGGAACTTCAGAGCACCTCTACAATAATAAAGAACATATGTGTACAGAACAGATCTCTTATAGCAAGCATGTATGCCTTGATGTGGAACTTCAGAGCACCTCTACTATAATAAAAAAGAACATATGTGTACAGAACAGATCTCTTATAGCAAGCATATATGCCTTGATGTGGAACTTCAGAGCACCTCTACAATAATACAGAACATATGTGTACAGAACAGATCTCTTATAGCAAAGCATATATGCCTTGATGTGGAACTTCAGAGCACCTCTACAATAATAAAAAAGAACATATGTGTACAGAACAGATCTCTTATAGCAAGCATATATGCCTTGATGTGGAACTTCAGAGCACCTCTACAATAATACAGAACATATGTGTACAGAACAGATCTCTTACAGCAAACATGAATGCCTTGATGTGGAACTTCAGAGCACCTCTACAATAATAAAGAACATATGTGTACAGAACAGATCTCTTATAGCAAGCATGTATGCCTTGATGTGGAACTTCAGAGCACCTCTACTATAATAAAAAAGAACATATGTGTACAGAACAGATCTCTTATAGCAAGCATATATGCCTTGATGTGGAACTTCAGAGCACCTCTACAATAATACAGAACATATGTGTACAGAACAGATCTCTTATAGCAAAGCATATATGCCTTGATGTGGAACTTCAGAGCACCTCTACAATAATAAAAAAGAACATATGTGTACAGAACAGATCTCTTATAGCAAGCATATATGCCTTGATGTGGAACTTCAGAGCACCTCTACAATAATACAGAACATATGTGTACAGAACAGATCTCTTACAGCAAACATGAATGCCTTGATGTGGAACTTCAGAGCACCTCTACAATAATACAGAACATATGTGTACAGAACAGATCTCTTATAGCAAATATATATGAATTGATGTGGAACTTCAGACCACCTCTACAATAATACAGAACATATGTGTACAGAACAGATCTCTTATAGCAAGCATATATGCCTTGATGTGGAACTTCAGAGCACCTCTACAATAATACAGAACATATGTGTACAGAACAGATCTCTTATAGCAAAGCATATATGCCTTGATGTGGAACTTCAGAGCACCTCTACAATAATACAGAACATATGTGTACAGAACAGATCTCTTATAGCAAGCATATATGCCTTGATGTGGGACTTCAGACCACCTCTACAATAATACAGAACATATGTGTACAGAACAGATCTCTTATAGCAAGCATATATGCCTTGATGTGGAACTTCAGAGCACCTCTACAATAATACAGAACATATGTGTACAGAACAGATCTCTTATAGCAAGCATATATGCCTTGATGTGGAACTTCAGACCACCTCTACAATAATACAGAACATATGTGTACAGAACAGATCTCTTATAGCAAGCATATATGCCTTGATGTGGAACTTCAGAGCACCTCTACAATAATACAGAACATATGTGTACAGAACAGATCACTTATAGCAAAGCATGTATGTCTTGATGTGGAACTTCAGAGCACCTCTACAATAATACAGAACATATGTGTACAGAACAGATCTCTTATAGCAAAGCATGTATGTCTTGATGTGGAACTTCAGAGCACCTCTACAATAATAAAGAACATATGTGTACAGAACAGATCTCTTATAGCAAGAATGTATGCCTTGATGTGGAACTTCAGAGCACCTCTACAATAATAAAAAAGAACATATGTGTACAGAACAGATCTCTTATAGCAAGCATGTATGCCTTGATGTGGAACTTCAGAGCACCTCTACAATAATAAATAACATATGTGTACAGAACAGATCTCTTATAGCAAGCATATATTTTTTGATGTGAAACTTCAGAGCACCTCTACAATAATACAGAACATATGTGTACAGAACAGATCTCTTATAGCAAAGCATATATGCCTTGATGTGGAACTTCAGAGCACCTCTACAATACAGAATATATGTGTACAGAACAGATCTCTTATAGCAAGCATGTATGCCTTGATGTGGAACTTCAGAGCACCTCTACAATAATAAAAAAGAACATATGTGTACAGAACAGATCTCTTATAGCAAGCATGTATGCCTTGATGTGGAACTTCAGAGCACCTCTACAATAATACAGAACATATGTGTACAGAACAGATCTCTTATAGCAAAGCATATATGCCTTGATGTGGAACTTCAGAGCACCTCTACAATACAGAATATATGTGTCCAGAACAGATCTCTTATAGCAAGCATGTATGCCTTGATGTGGAACTTCAGACCACCTCTACAATAATACAGAACATATGTGTACAGAACAGATCTCTTATAGCCAGCATATATGCCTTGATGTGGAACTTCAGAGCACCTCTACAATAATACAGAACATATGTGTACAGAACAGATCTCTTATAGCAAGCATATATGTCTTGATGTGAAACTTCAGAGCACCTCTACAATAATACAGAACATATGTGTACAGAACAGATCTCTTATAGCAAAGCATATATGCCTTGATGTGGAACTTCAGAGCACCTCTACAATAATAAAAAAGAACATATGTGTACAGAGCAGATCTCTTATAGCAAGCATATATGCCTTGATGTGGAACTTCAGAGCACCTCTACAATAATACAGAACATATGTGTACAGAACAGATCTCTTACACCTCTACAATAATACAGAACATATGTGTACAGAACAGATCTCTTATAGCAAGCATATATGCCTTGATGTGGAACTTCAGACCACCTCTACAATAATACAGAACATATGTGTACAGAACAGATCTCTTATAGCAAGCATATATGCCTTGATGTGGAACTTCAGAGCACCTCTACAATAATACAGAACATATGTGTACAGAACAGATCTCTTATAGCAAAGCATGTATGTCTTGATGTGGAACTTCAGAGCACCTCTACAATAATACAGAACATATGTGTACAGAACAGATCTCTTATAGCAAAGCATGTATGTCTTGATGTGGAACTTCAGAGCACCTCTACAATAATACAGAACATATGTGTACAGAACAGATCTCTTATAGCAAAGCATGTATGTCTTGATGTGGAACTTCAGAGCACCTCTACAATAATACAGAAAATATGTGTACAGAACAGATCTCTTAAAGCAAGCATATATGCCTTGATGTGGAACTTCAGAGCACCTCTACAATAATACAGAACATATGTGTACAGAGCAGATCTCTTATAGCAAACGTGTATGCCTTGATGTGGAACTTCAGAGCACCTCTACAATAATACAGAACATATGTGTACAGAACAGATCTCTTATAGCAAAGCATATATGCCTTGATGTGGAACTTCAGAGCACCTCTACAATAATACAGAACATATGTGTACAGAACAGATCTCTCATAGCAAACATGTATGCCTTGATGTGGAACTTCAGAGCACCTCTACAATAATACAGAACATATGTGTACAGAGTAGATCTCTTATAGCAAAGCATGTATGCCTTGATGTGGAACTTCAGAGCACCTCTACAATAATGCAAAACTGTATGTTTATATCATATATGATGAAATAAACCAAGTTGGAAACAGGATTAATGATGACCAATAATTTGCATATCAAGTTTTTCACCATATTTGACCTGGCTATTTCTCATCTGAGAGTTTTCTATTGAGCCAAGATAATTTTCAATTTCTCAAACAGGTGTACATACTATACCCACCTATACAAATAAGCCCTAACACTTTTCGGTTGTAACTTAATGGCCTCGTTACAATTGAGGATAGCCTTGCTGTATTGCCCTCTGAGACCATAATAAGCTGCCCTGCTGAGGTAAGCCTGGAATATCTTGGGGTCAAGTGCAAGGGCACGGTTGAAATCTTGGATTCCTTTGGCCTGCTTAAGCCTCATTCTGGACAACCCTCTCTGGTAGTATGCCTAAAAATATTAATGCATTAAATATGTTATAACATATGCCAGATATGATCATATATAAAATATGTAAGCACAATGGGCAAAGAGAAAATAAGAATTATGGAAGTTTATAATTGCTGCTACGCAAAAAGTGTTTCATGACTTATTTAATGTACTCGCATTTGTGATATACACAAAATCTGAAATTATCACAGTGGACATGTTGAAGTAAGAAAATAAATATTCAGAAATATGAATCTATTTGTCTCTTAGTTCAGGGTAAGTGTATTTTATGTAATCTATTGATTAACAAACCATAATTTTCACAAATCAATGAGGAAATCATAGTGTTCTATTTGTCTTACCTCTGCATATTTGTCATCAATTTTCAATGCCATGTTGAAAGCATCGTGTGCCTCATTGTATTGCCTCATCTCCATTTGAGACACCCCCTTCAAGTAATTTAGAAGGAGCTTATGTCTTACCTCTGCATATTTGTCATCAATTTTCAATGCCATATTGAAAGCATCATGTGCTTCATTGTATTGCCTCATCTCCATTTGAGACACCCCCTTCAAGTAATTTAGAAGGAGCTTATGTCTTACCTCTGCATATTTGTCATCAATTTTCAATGCCATATTGAAAGCATCATGTGCTTCATTGTATTGCCTCATCTCCATTTGAGACACCCCCTTCAAGTAATTTAGAAGGAGCTTATGTCTTACCTCTGCATATTTGTCATCAATTTTCAATGCCATGTTGAAAGCATCGTGTGCCTCATTGTATTGCCTCATCTCCATTTGAGACACCCCCTTCAAGTAATTTAGATGGAGCTTATGTCTTACCTCTGCATATTTGTCATCAATTTTCAATGCCATATTGAAAGCATCATGTGCTTCATTATATTGCCTCATCTCCATTTGAGAGACCCCCTTCAAGTAATTTAGATGGAGCTCATGTCTTACCTCTGCATATTTGTCATCAATTTTCAATGCCATATTGAAAGCATCGTGTGCCTCATTGTATTGCCTCATCTCCATTTGAGACACCCCCTTCAAGTAATTTAGAAGGAGCTTATGTCTTACCTCTGCATATTTGTCATCAATTTTCAATGCCATGTTGAAAGCATCGTGTGCCTCATTGTATTGCCTCATCTCCATTTGAGACACCCCCTTCAAGTAATTTAGATGGAGCTCATGTCTTACCTCTGCATATTTGTCATCAATTTTCAATGCCATATTGAAAGCATCGTGTGCCTCATTGTATTGCCTCATCTCCATTTGAGAGACCCCCTTCAAGTAATTTAGAAGGAGCTTATGTCTTACCTCTGCATATTTGTCATCAATTTTCAATGCCATATTGAAAGCATCGTGTGCCTCATTGTATTGCCTCATCTCCATTTGAGACACCCCCTTCAAGTAATTTAGAAGGAGCTTATGTCTTACCTCTGCATATTTGTCATCAATTTTCAATGCCATGTTGAAAGCATCGTGTGCCTCATTGTATTGCCTCATCTCCATTTGAGACACCCCCTTCAAGTAATTTAGATGGAGCTTATGTCTTACCTCTGCATATTTGTCATCAATTTTCAATGCCATATTGAAAGCATCATGTGCTTCATTGTATTGTCTCATCTCCATTTGAGACACCCCCTTCAAGTAATTATGATGGAGCTTATGTCTTACCTCTGCATATTTGTCATCAATTTTCAATGCCATGTTGAAAGCATCGTGTGCCTCATTGTATTGCCTCATCTCCATTTGAGACACCCCCTTCAAGTAATTCACCTCAGCAGCCTCAAATGGCCAGGAGTCTCGATCTTGCCATGGTTTCTGAAATATTTTGAATTCTTTAACTAAAAGATTGCACAATTCATGTCTATAGCTACAAATCTGAGTCTTGTCACAGCTTCTGGGATATTTCATACACAATGGTGATTATCAAGGAAATATCACATTAATATAGAATTCTGACTTAAATTTCAATAATATGATATCTGTAATATGATTTTAAGATTCTTTTTATTCTTTTTCTATGTGCTAACTGATAAACATAAATTATAAGATCATTTGCAAGAAGTAGCTACCATTAGCGAGGATAAGAAGTTTTTGTTCAAACATTCCTTGACATTAAACAAACATTAACACAATCTAATAATATGAAAACAATCAAATGAAAAATAAAAAAGCATTATATTGCAAGCTCTATAGGTACCACAGGCCCTAATTGTAAGTAAAGATTGTGGTACTAGAAAATAGTATCAGGAGAGGGGCACAAGAATAAAGATGAGCAATTTCAAATATAGCAATTTACAAGTTAACAGCATGATCTTCTCTTATGTCTGTCGACTTTGTAAATTACAAATTAAATTTTAGGAGATGCCAAATATAAATATAATAAATATGCCTATATGGCCTGCAACTACTTTAGTCATAATATAAAACCCAAATAGCAACATCATCGAGAAAAATAGATGAATCAATTTGGAAGACACACTGAATCTCAGGAAATATTTCCAACTTCGTCTTCCAAGATACAAGCAATATGGTCTATTCTACCTCCATAAACACTAATAGTATAGTAAACCTTCAACCAATGACCTATGGAGTCTACATTATATATAAGAATGATAAATACATTTCTTAATCGATACATATAGCAACTATTTTAATAAAAAACATATTGCGATACCAAGAGCAAATAGGTGAAACAATTTGGAAGACACACTGAATCTCAGGAAGTATTTCCAACTTTGTCTTCCAAGATACAAGCAATATGGTCAATTCTACCTTCATTAACACTAATAGTATAGTAAACCTTCAACCAATGACCTATGGAGTCTACATTATATATAAGAATGATAAATACATTTCTATGAATGGGTATCATTCTAATTATTGATACATATAGCAACTATTCTAGTCAAGCAAGGTTATCCAAACCCAGGCATCAAATAATTTACCTCCCAACTTGGTCTGCGTTGTCTCTTTTATATAATACATAAATAATAGAATACAATAAGCATACAGTAACAAACTAAATAAATTAAAAAATCAAGCAAAAGATTTTTTACGCATACATAAACTAGTTTTTGTTTGTCACCAAATTGTTTATGAAAGAATGAATGGATGGATGGATTGATCGGTGGATGGAAAAACGGATGGACAGTTGAACAAAGGGATGGATGGACAAATGAACTGATGGATGGATGAACGGATGATGTTGATGATTCCATGATGTGAGCCAAAAACTAAATAATGCAATCACAATACAAATATTTTTGTGTAACAACACATGTACTGTACAAAACACACAAATAAATGTCATTGCAATTCATGTACTATATCAAATACATGAAAGATGATATTACAACGCATGCACTATACCTCCACAGGTTCCTATAAGTAGCCGTAAAATGAGAAGAAGTCTATTATGCCGTGAATGTAAACAGTAAATGGATCTTTTAACGGTAATGTCACACTGTGTCAAACTGTATTCTACCTGGTAATTCAATGTCTATTTCTATATTTGGCTTAATTAATCATTAGATACATCTTTCAGATAACATTTGAAAGGAATGCCTTTTTACTAAAATAAAATCAAAGATCTCAATTTTTATGTGACTCACAAAGTAATGTGATAAAGAATGAGAGTAAGAAATTGTTAAAAGATGACAAATAATATACTAGAGGACGTTATTTGATCAAAAATTTATTTAAATCCAATCATATTGAAAAGTACATTGATGAAACATGGCAACATTAGTAAAGATAACATTTAAACAAAGAATATTGGAACATCATAATTTAATAAACTAATTTTTGTAACAAGTACCTCTTAAACTACATACTTCATGTACCTTTTTATACTGACTGTAAGACTAAAATACAAAGCAACCAACACGTGTCAGCCCTGAACTTTTAATTAACTATACATCATGCATGCATGCAAGGTTCATATTTTCATTTTCATTTCATTGCAAATAAAAATTCGCAAAACAAATTGTAATACATAAGGAATAGCTATGACTTGCAGGCCCATAAAAAAGTCTTTCAAAATCATGCAGTTTTTCACCATTCTGAGTACCTTTGAAGTTATTTTGGCCATTTTTTGGCCAGAGTTCTCAAAAGTTAACCCTCTGGGAATTTTAAAAAGTGAACCACCCTTGGCAAATCCTGACTATGGGCCTGACTTGGGTTTGAAGTTTCTCATAGCTTCACACCACTTTGGCTCCATACAAGTTGAAGATTTTCAACTTGAAGATAGGACTTGCGTCAACTCAGTTAGACAGCAATTCCATAAATTAATCTTGCGATATTGTGCAATGTAATTATGCAGTAAAATAAACATATATGTCGATAAAAAAAGCAGTTGGTGCTGTGGTAGAATCAAGATTATGGTGCTTCTGGAACAAGTTGAAACATAAGCGATGTCTTAGCGAGTGATTATTAATATTCAGCTATCAGTGGCCCATTCAGATAACGTGTTTTGGTGAAATAATTCTAATATACATGGTGATAACACAACAAGGGACTCCCTTTTGATGATGTTAACATCATTTCAACGTATCCCTTAAGGATGTTCCCTGGTCAGATAGGAAAATATTCAATAGTATTTAACTTTTTCTCAAAAATGGTTTTCTGGGATTCTCACGGGCAACAAAGAATATTAAAACTTTAAAAACCATATGTTAGTGTGCTTTTTTCTGAGCAAGAGGCCTCTAAAGTGTCAATATTTGACAAAAGTGGGCGTGGCACTTTCTCATTGAAACCCATGTTAAAAATCAGGTTTTCACCCCAAAACACACTTTTGAATATTTAACTTTTTCTTAAACTCACAGAAACACTTAGTTATGCTATGTACTTCACATTTTGAAAAGAAAAATTAGGGGTTGGTGTTCATCGTTTTCAACTTCGTCCAGGGAACATCCTTAAGTGATCTCTCAAATATACATATGTAAGTGGTGTCTATTAGCAAGTGGTTGTTAATATTGAGCAATAAATTGCCCATTCAGATAATGCGTTTGAGTGAAATTAATTGATTTAAATATGCTGTGATAACACAATGAGACTTCTTTTAGATCTATGTTATGCTAACACCATTTCAACATATCCCAAGTGATTTCCCCTCAGTAGAAAGTGGGTATTGCACCTGCTTGAGATTTTAAAGAGGGGTTTGCACCCGTTTATAAGTTCATTTGCACCCACTTGAAAATTAGAAGAATCTTGACGAGGCATATTTGACTATTTGGTCAAAACTGTAAAAATAAGAATTTTGATCTCACTTGACTGAAAAAAACCAAGGAGAACATTGATTTCCTTTTGAGACCTTTTGAAATTGTAGCAATGCTTCAATGATGTTAAAACAAAAAAATGTATTTCTTTTTTTCTAGGAGTTCGTGCATGCAAAGAAATCTTACATCTTTGACCTTTGATTTATCAATCACAGGCTTCTGAAAAAATTCCCAATGCAATGTTACCTCAAATTAGAATAATATATTAATTTAGTCATCATTATTGCAAAACACACACAAGAATTTATTACATTTTTGATTAAGAAAAGTGGTTATGAATTTTTTATATTATGTTTTATATTGAACACAAATTTTATATAAAATGGTGGTTGGTAATGAGAAGATTTGTGCTTTTTAAAAGTATGAATACTTTCTTACCAGCAAATCAAGAGCTTTATTAAAGCTTTCCACTGCACCTTCAAACTCCTTGTTTTTCATCTGCATTTTGCCAAGGAGTGTAAACAATGGCGGGATTGGTTTCACTCTGGTGGCCTTGGACAGGATTTCTATTGCCTGAAATACAATGTTACAGTATTAGGAGACTATACTAGAAACTGGCCCACCCTGTAGTGATATACTCTGTATTGTCACAATTATCTATGATGAAGATCAACCAAACTGATATGATCGTTTGAGGTAAATATGTAATTAAAACTGTAAAATACATTTAAAATGTTAAAATGACCTATGTTCTTCATTTACACACCTTGCCATAGTTTTTCAGGAAAGATTGTACAATAGCTTGCTGTGTTGGACTTTGACCCAAACCTTCTCCTAATTCTGATGCATGTCTTATACAGAATGCTGCTAATTCAAGATTGCCCAACTTCAACACCATTTGACCCTATAAAAAAAAGTACAACACTGTCAAGCAATGTATAGCATTGTATACCAAAGTGCGTTCCACAATTTTAATTGTGATGAAAGTCATAAATTTTTTTTACATCACAATACATTAACATATAGGCTTAAAAATGGATTGTTGGTTGTTAAACTTTTTGAGGGAGTGATTTTTTTTCAAATGAAGCAGAGTAATTTGTGTATAATAGTAACACCCTATTATAGAACCTACCCGCATCATGTAGTAATGGTGAACATCAGGACGCAGATGTATTGCCCTGGTGTAATCCAGCAGAGCATTAGGAATCTGAAACATCAATTTATAATGAATTTTCAAATTTGAAAATTACAATGTTGTAATCAAATTATCAACATTGAATAGCATTTTCATTTTATGAAGGTAAGATGTGATTATTTTGATATATAATGTTTTAAGAAAGCATTATAATTCATAACACAATGATGTGATATTCAAATGATTAAATCACAGGTTAAGGATTAAAGCAACTTACGTCATGTATTTTGTGATATGCCTCTGCCCTACATATATACGCCCTGACAAATGTGGGAGTGACCTTGATAGCAGACGTGAACTTACGTATGGCCCTAAAAGTAGAGAGGACATTGGAGACAATGCAGTGTAATACATGCATATGTACATATATATGTAATGCAAGTTAAATCAAATGTAATGGCAATCAAATATGGGTATATAAAAAAGATTGTAATTGTAGAGATCGTGATTGTAAAAAAATAAAATATTGTCTCCTGAGGATGCAATTGTGCCTAGAATTTTGAAAGATCTCAATAAACCTCTCAAAGAGCAAGGACTTTAGAAATAAAAAATCATTTAGATAATATGTATACCTTTGGTAATCATCTTTATACTGCAGGTAAATCAGCCCTAGGTTGAGATGTGCCAGAGACACTTGGTTGTTCAACCTCAACACAGCCTCAAAATCAGGTATAGCTTCATCATAACGATTCATTTCAACGTACAATATCCCACGATGCAGAAACGCCATCTGATTTTCTTCACTTTCATTGGCTAGAATAGACTGACTTAAATCTTGCAAGGCTTTCTTTTGATTCAATCTGAAAACAAGAAATTATTTACAAAAATGATTCCAATAAACATATCATCTAATAAAACTTCCCTGCAGTATCTTATAAAGACATTTTATATCTGGTTTGCCCATTTTCATATGAGACCAGAAAACAATGATTTTTTTATTCAAAATCATCTCTAAATACAAGCCTTACATATGTACTCACTTTCTCAACAGACATCCTCTATGGTAGAAAGCCAGCCAGTTGTTGGGGTCCAGATGTATGGCAGCAGACAGGTCCTCAATGGCTGCATTCCATTCTCCAATCTTTGCATAAGCACGCCCTCTATATGTCCTACCCTCACTATTGTTAGGTTCCTGCTTCAACAACTGAGTGAAGTCATTGATGGCCATTTGCCAGCTCCTGTAAGGTAAGATGGTGTCAGATATGAGGGATTAAATGTCAGGATACATATCTTTTTATGCATTTTTTTCTCGTGAAATTCAACTTAGATACAACTTGGATGCAATTTAAATGGATCATTTCATTTCATCATTAGAAACCATATAAGAAATATGAACAAAGAGCCCAAGTTATGTTTGAGCCAAGTATTGATGAAAGCCAATGATGAAAGAGTATTGCTTATTTAAAGTAATATTTGAATTTTTTATCAAACGTCATTTGAACATTAAAGCAAAACTTTGCTTATATTCCTTTATTAAAGGGGCAAAAATGTCAGTAAGTTGAACATACTTATTGTTGAAATAATGAAGTCCATGTTTCAAAATAGCATCAGTTTTACTTGGCATCAGTTTTGTGGCCTCAGCATAGTCTTCTAGTGCTAGTAGCATATCTCCATTCTGCAAAAACAAAGCATAAGGGGTTTAGCCTCAGGTGAAAAATCTTTAAATTTACTTTGAAGCTTTACTATAAATTACTTCTGATATTCAGATGTCTCATTCAAGTTAATTAATTAAGGTACTCTTATTATGACCTTCATAAATTCATTATTGTAACTGTGTATATACTGTATATAATGGCATCAATAGGCTCATAAATTCATGAATGTAAGAGGACATATGGTATTTCACATTTAATGCACATAGTGGTTTATACATGTATAGTATACATACCTCTTCATACATTTCTGCTCTACAATAGTAAGATTCATAATCCTCTGGGTTGAACTTCAAAGCTTGAGAGTAATTGATAATTGCCATCATAATATCACCCCTTCTTTTGTAGATCTCAGCTCTGTAAATACAGGATGGGAAAATCTTTAATCGATGGTCGATTCTTATCTTGACATATTTTACACCACTTAAACAGCTAACAGAAACATTTCTGAAAGCACTTAAAGAATGTCATGGATAAATTTGGATGAAAACCATGATATTTTCTGTGTGATTCCATTACATCAAAATAGCTGTAGTTAACTTCACTTCAAAATATGACTCCTGGTGGGTGTCCAATATGATCGTTTTTGTGAATACCTTGATCTATATGCTCCTGAGTGTGTTTTATGATGTTTTAGTATCATCTGGAGGTCTTCCAATGCTTTGTCATCATTGTTTTGTAATATATACAGCATGTGTCTGTGCCAATATGCATCTATAAGTAAGGGTTCCATGTCTATAGCAAGGTCAAGGTCAATCTGTGACTTTTTCAGTAAACCAAGCTGAAATATAAATCACACGTTATACCTTAATTCAATATGAAGCGTTATCATAAAACAGTGTTAACATACAACAATTTTACTTTAATCTAATATCAAAAATGAAATATTTCAACATGACAGTAAAAAATACAGAAAATTCACGGGATGAATGATTAGTTTCTTCAGATTCTCCATTGGACTCTAGGAAGCCCATGGCTTAACATAATCCTTTTTCCATGTTAAATGATGAATGTTCTTTTTATCTTCACCCACAGCATATGTAATAGGTTGCATCCTTAAAAAATAAAAGTTAAAAATCTATATTTACCTTTCTATAGATGGCACCCCGTCTGCTGAGGTCAAAAGGTCGTGGATTGTCAGATGATTCTATCAATGCAGAAAGCCTCTGTATCTCCTCAAGCAGAATCTAGAACAAGAATACTAAACATAAATATGTGAAATACAAGAAATGTGAAAATATAATGATGGTCAATAAAGTTCATTGGCTTATGTACCCTGAGGCTAGAAGTAAATACTACCCTCTGAATAAGTCAAATTCATACAGTTTTAATGCTGATTTATGAGTAAATAAAGCCAAAAGATGCTGTCAAGGCTTTCAAGTGTTCATATACCTACTGGGATAGTATGCAGCCTAGATCAATATCAATAGTTTGATGAATCTCTGTTTTAAAGAAGTCATTTATAAAACCACACTTTGAGAAGGGCATATTGGTTATTGGGGAAGAAAATCTTAATATTTATTCATATCTGAGTCAGGCAAACATAATATGAATGACTGATGGGTGTATAGGATTACCTCCATTATCTGACGACCTTCTGGTGTGTCATCAAGTTCAGTTTGGTCCTCAAGATTAAAGTCTTTAAGTGATACAATAGTAGATGCAGGTGTCTCAGGCCTGAAATTAATCATTTAATACATGAATGTTTATTGATATATTATTGTATGGTCTGAGTATTGAATATAGTACCCCAAAAACATATTTGAAAATATATAATTTCATTGAATTAATATTTGCCTCTTTTAAAAAGCTCACATATAAGCAAAGCCTCAACTCTAAAATTTGTGTGTTGGATATTTGCACATCACTTATTTTCTGTATTAAGATTGAAAGCCTGAAAAAATGTTAATACATGTACATTTACATGAGAAAAACAAATCCAAATTGTGTTTGAATTTGTTTCAATAAATACCTTTAAATTGCTCATCATTAATAGATGTTGAATTTCGAACTTACACTTTTTCCACTTTCTTAGTTTGACCAGATAATTTGAGAAATTTGGCCAGTTTGTCTTCCTCTTCTTGTTTCTTAATGGCCTCCAGTGGGTTTTCTGGGAAAACTAGATCAAACCATTCATTCCATATATCACGTGTCCATTCTCTCATGTCGACACCTTCCCTGGAAGTACACAAAAAGAGACAACATTCATATTTATATATGAGGTGTGATCAAAAACTTTGCTATTTTTTGATAAAATTACATGAGACTTTCCAATAATAAAGATCAACTTTTGGATCATCCCTCGTACATGTAGTTAAATCTGTGGAAGTGGAATACTCTTTACTTTGGCTGTTGATGAACACGAGAGACTGTTAATACAAGATTGTATGTATGTACTATACTTGATATAGTAATCATTCCAATTTGAAACAGTGATTATTCATGTCATATATGACATCATATAGATTTTGAGAAAGAATTAAGGATCTTGAGGTTGTATGACATGAAATTATTGAACAAGACTAATTATGTGTACAAAGGGTGATCCAAATTATTTAAAAAAGAATGACTTACTTTGCTCCCTTTTCCATGGCATACTTTGAGAAATTGAAGATGTCAGGGACACTACCTCTCTCCCTTCTTCTGACTTGTCTGCAAACACAAAATACAATGAAAATATATACCCTGAAATACAACTTACTTTTTTAAATAGAGAAATTTGTAGTCATTTAAAGACAACTCTTCCTCTCCTGCATCGTTCATATATAATAAAATATGCTAAAATACAATACAATGAAATACAATAAATTACAATATACATTGTACTGGAATACAATTTTGTTCATTGGAAAATACATAAATAATTTGGTTGTTTTTCCTTTAGGGAAAAGGTTATTATTTATATCATACATTATCAAATACTTACGGTGGTACCCTGAGCTCATATTCTATTGGACCTCTAACTCTAGGCAGAGACATAGAACGCTGTAAGGGTCTTGCTGGTATCTTTAGAAACCTCTCAATCTGCTCCAGTCTTGCCATATCAGTTACCTTCCTCTTTTTCTTTTTATCAACTTTTGATCTACAGAAATTATAGAAAGCAAAGTTTAGATTAAAGGTTAATTAAGATTACTCAATGATGCATAACTTATGACAATTTAAAAGGGTACCTATATACTAATAATAAATATCTAAAGTCCAAAAGTGAATTTAATACATATCAATTGATCAAAGTTTGATCTGAAATCATAAACAATATTGAAAGTACTAGAAAAAATGTTAAAGACACTTTATTGCTGCAATGTACTTACTTTTTGTTCTTTGGTAATAACACATAATTTCTTCCAGCCTCCAGAGCCAGCTCTGCAGGAGTTTTCTCATCTAAAGGTAAACCAAACCAAACAGTGAAGGCCTGAGGCAAAATTGGAAATTTTTTAGCTTTTCTAAGATCCTCGATTTTCTTAAGATACAGGGCCAGGGCAAAGTCTGATTTTTTCAAAATTTTAATAATCTTTTTAGTTGTTTTTAGAAACTTTCGAAATTATTTGGTTAATAAAAATGCTAGAATAAAAGTGACAATGATGTTGTGATTATATCATCATAATTGAATTGTTGAAGTAATTAGAATAGCAGAGACTATTGTGCTTACCTTTCTTTTGGGACACCATGGCAAACTGGTTGAACTGTTCTTCGTTGTCTTTGATCTGGAAAATAAAAAAAAGGTTCAGAGAACACAATATATTCAATACTTACAAAGACAAAAAATAGACTGTGCTGAATATGTGAAAATATGGTTCTGTGCAAAAGAAAAAAATCAAATTAAATACATATTTCATTCAAAACCAATGTTTTGTATTTTATTCATGTGCCATTCATGAAAAGTGATGTGTATATGATGCTAAAAACACTCATGCAAACAATAATGCAATCTTTCAATCTCCAGCTTAATGTCATCAAGCTACATGTACATATCAAAAATGTTAAAAACAAAATAAATATTTCAATAAAAATATTTATTAGCTTTTTGTTGAATTAATAACTACGAGTGAATAACAAATATACACAGGAACAATATATCACATGTTAGCCCTCATATCATGTAAAAGCAGGCTCGGTGACTACATCCAATAGTTCCCAAAAGTGTTTCAATTTGTTGTTTTGTTTATTGAAATCAGTATTTGATTAAAACTGATTCAGGTACAGTATGGTAAGAATCAACTAAAAAATGTGCAATAAAATAAAACTGTTAGTAAAATATACATATATTCTTAAAGTAAATTAATTGTGAAGTGCAAATTGAAAGTGTAAACTGAACAAGATCTGATTTTTAGTCCCGACCCCGATGCATACTATCCCATTCTGTGAAAAACATTTGTCGGGGTTGGGACTAAAAATCAGATCTAACTGAACATACATATACATGTGGATTGTAAAACATGAATGTGCAATATGAGACACAAATTGTGATATGTATTAATTACATGATTAATATCATCTCAAAATATATAAGCAAAATGATTACAGTAAAACATTATTTGGGTTAGGCATAATTAATGAATGTCTTGTAAACCATGTGATTGATCAATAAAAATTCAATAACAGGAGCTTTTTCATTTAGTTATACATGAAATAATGCACAAGTTTAATTGATTATATATCAGACTATTAGGGATACAATGGGCTAATTGGAGATAACAATGTACTTTTACAACAATAGGTAGGAAAGGGAGGCCAGTTTGGATAACATCATCTTACACCATTTGGAATATTGTATATCTCTTCTAATGGTAGGTTGCTCAATGATCCCCAATATCCCCTATCATTGAAGTAAACTACTCTGTTGTGCTATTGGAAGGAAAACATGGGGCCTATAGATATGCAATGTATATTTCCATATTTCTAAATTCAAACAACACCAACGATGGGTCATTCTTTTACTTTAAAACAAATAAACAAAAAAGTTAATAAAAAATAAATACATAAAAAAGTGGAGTATGATGTCTCAAAATCATTTTTATCTTCTTCATCTGGAAGTAAATACATTTTGAAACACCATATTGCACTACTATACCTAAAAGCAAAGCATACAGTCAAATAACAAGGAAATTGTTATTTCATTTTGAGCCAAACGTGAGTAAGTCAATAACAAATCCAAATGTAACATTATTATATCATGTTTCTCAACCTTTGACTGGTTGAACATATGTCATATGTTTAGATGTATGACACCTGCCCCATTTAAATTTTCAAACAATTCGAGGGGGATTGGCATTTGATAACTTTGGCCTTAAATCACTTAAAGACAGCCAATATTTTGAAAGAATTATTTGGTGGGGGAGGTGTTCATTACCCGCAAAGTTACCCTGGCTACTGGCCTCTGACATTACATAATTAGACAATGAAAAAATACCAGGTACCTGTATTCCTCTCAACAAGAACACAAATGTGTACAAAATGTCAAATGGTTATCCTGAAAATGAGTAGACAAGACTTTACGAACAAAATTTGAGGATGGAAAATCCAAAATGGCCACCTTAAAATTTACCCAGAATGCCAAAAATTTAGTCAGTTCTAGATTTTCATACTAAGAACCACCCCTGAAAATTTGAAATTGATCCGTCACACAGTTAACCAGAAAACATGTAAACAAGACTATACAGACAAGATTTCAGGATGGAAAATCCAAAATGGCTACCTTGACATTTACCCAGAATGTCAAAAAACTAATCTGTTTGTAGATTTTCATACTAAGAATCATCCCTGAAAATATGAAATTGATCTACCAAACGGTTCACCTGAAAACGGGTAGACAAGACTTTACAGACAAGATTTTAGGACTGAAAATCCAAAATGGCTGCCTTAACATTTACGCAGAATGCAAAAAAACTAATCAGATGTAGGTTTTCATACAAAGAATCATCCCTGAAAATTTGAAATTGATCTATCAAACTGTTCACCTAAAAACGCATAGACAAGACTTTACAGGCAAGATTTTAAGAGGGAAAATCCAAAATGGCTGCCTTGACTTTTATCCAGGATGCCAAAAAACTAATGAGATCTAGATTTTTATACTAAGAATCATCCCTGAAAATTTGAAATTGATCTACAGAACGGTTCACCTGGAAATGCGTAGACAAGACTTTACAGCCGGACAAGATTTAAGGACAGAAAATCCAAAATGGCTGCCTTGACATTTACCCAGAATGCCAAAAAACTAATCAGTTCTAGATTTTCATACTAAGAATCATCCCTGAAAATTTGAAATTGTTCTACCAAACAGTTCACCTGAAAATGAGTAGACAAGACTTTACAGACAAGATTTTAGGATGGAAAATCCAAAATGGCTGCCTTGACATTTACCCAGAAGGCCAAAAAACTAATGAGATCTAGATTTTTATACTAAGAATCATCCCTGAAAATTTGAAATTGATCCACCAAACGGTTCACCTGAAAACGCGCAGACAAGACTTCACAGACAAGATTTTAGGACCGAAAAATCCAAAATGGCCGACAATAAAAAAGTCCTTATGAGTTTTTGCTGATTTCTTTTTACAAAATTATCACATATAACTACTGTTAACAATAAAGTAGGCTTTTACAACAAAGTACATCTGAAATTATTTATAAAGCTGCTAAATAGTTTAAGTATGAAAACTCAAAAACACCATTCAATATGATACAAAGTATTATCGCGCGCTAACTTTTCTTAAGACATTCAAAATGGCTGACACGACTGAGCTAACAGGTCCAAAACCTAATCAGATCTAGAATGAAGTGAGCTGAACAAGATGTTAAAGTTTTAAAAGCAACTATGACGCAGTTTTTCTTAAAGTTTGCAGACAAGGATTTTAGCGTTTGACTTCAAAATGGCCGACAGGAAGTAGGTTTCAAGTTAAATTTTTTTCATCCACATCTATAGGCACTCATAAGTTATCCCTGAAAATTTGAAGGTGATATCTGTAGCGGTTTTGGAGAAAACTCCCGGACGTACGGACGGACAGACGGACGGACAGACAGACAGACGGACAGACAGTCGGACGCGCCTAGGCCGACAATATGGCCCCACACTATGTGGTGGGGACATAATAAAATGAAATAGTGTTTTTATGATAGTTTAAGCACATTTCTTTGTTACTCCTACATCACTTTTGACAAAATAAAATATTCACTATTAACATGTAACATGTATAATCTGGTTTAATTATACTGCAATTTCGTTTTTAATTTTCAACTTAGCAGTTCAGAAGACAATAAAACTAAATAGATTTATAAACAAGTTAAATTAACAGATTTCACCAAATTCACAAAATAAAACATTAGCACATAATTAAACCATGCATACAGCAGACTCATCTTTGCCTTTCTTTGGGTACTAAAGATAAGGCAAGATAGTTCTCAGTACATGTTACAAAAGCCTTTCAACAAGAAGTCCATGTTAATACACTACCTTGGCATCACCTTCCTAATTACAAAATGAAAAATAATTTGGGTTAACAGTGCTGTGGGGCTTTCAAATGTTACAAATAATTCAAAATAAAAAGTGCAATGCATTCAAACAGCATACATCTGAGAATGAGAAAATGAAAAAAAGTTTTTTGGAGTATTTAACCCAAAATAAAGGATTCCAATGGTCACTGTCTCTTTCAAAATGCTGATTTGAGTAGTAGTCAACACTACATGTAGCTATACCTTATCACGAAGTTGCAAGTTCGAAACACATGTGCTCCTTGTGTTTATTCAATTATCAACATTGTAAGTACTTATATAACTTTTTTTATGTTTGTCATGTTGTAAACTTGTTTCTTACATGTATCATATTTCTACCTAAACACCTAGAAAGGTGTGCATAAATGCCTACCTGTTCAGCAATTGTAACTTGAGGTTTGACAAAAGGAGTTAATTTTTTCTCAGTTGTCACTTTCTGCAACATCTCTTTGTGCCTCTTCACCTAAAATACAAGAGACAACATCAACACTTCTCTAAACTCCAAATATGTAGCAATCAATGGAAATTCTAAAGACTTTTTTAAACCGTAAGTGTTTCAGCTCAAGCTCAATTGTGTTTCATTCAAAAGGACTAACCCCCCTCCCCTTAAAGCTCTAATGTATTCTGCCTACATCGCATGTTCTGATCTCAATTGCTCTTTAATATACTCATATAATACATTTGATAATAACTCTACCTCATACATTGACAAAGGTATTATAGATTGCAATTTTCAGTCAGTGCCATCTATCCTTAATACTGTATTATTGGAGAGAGACTGTTCAGTACTACATACAATTACTGAGAAGATAGATTTTACTGACTCAGAACACCTTTTCGGTTTCCTTACCTCCTCCATAGCAGTGTTAAAATCCTGTGGAATCATTACAAACTCCTCAAACTCTCCAAGCAGATTTGGACAAGACTGACTCCGCCTAAAACATATTGAAAATCATATGAACAATAATCATGTTTTATCAAATGTTTATCAACCAAATCAAATAGTCGTATTTGAAGACATCTGTTATTCTAGGCTGATCTATGCAAAATAAGTATATTTTAGGTAGGAATGACCCATATTCAATTCTTTATTTAGAGAAGCATAGATGTTAATTTTACTAAATAACTGGCTTACCTCTCCTTGACAAATACAGGAAATATTTCCTGATCTGTCATCTCTCTCTTTTCCTCTTTCTTCTTCTTCATTAAATCAATAGCTGATTGTGCCATTGAGTATGTACGACGCATCTCAACGAATGACAAAGCTTTCTTGCTTACTGGATCAGCCCTCTCTGAAATTTTAATTAAAAAAAGGTTCAAGAATTCACTGGCATATAAAAGGTTCAGAGCTTTAATTCTTATCCTAAATAACCCAAAATTAATGGTAATGCATAATGGTATGTAACTTAAACAATGAATAGACTTGACCTGATACACCTTATTTTCTGTAATCATACTGAAGCTACTGCGACCTTGACATTCAAAAAATAAACGAGTAAGATACAGTTGTGCTCACCTTCTTGAGCAGGTTCATTTGTATTCTCTTTCTTGATTGGTTCACCAAATTCATCTAACTTTCCTTCTTCAATATCTTTCTCTCTTTGTATCTTGCTCTTCTCAAGGTTGCTGAGGTCCCTGGAGGAATGGTACCTCCTTTGGAGAACCCTGGGTAAAAAATATTTATAGGAACATGTGAATTAATTGGTGATTTCTTTGATTTTTCATTTTGTAGATTACATCTTTTTGCATGTCACATAGAGTATGCTGTTTTGCATTCATATCTTTCTTGGTGCTCTTAGTGTGTATTCTTGTATTATAGCATCATATTGATTTCTAAACATTCTGCCAAAATATACAAGTGTTATCCAACTATGGCAAGGGATGGATCAATAAAACTATTAGTGAACATAATTTACTAAAAAAACTAAAAATATTTTATTTATTTATTTATTTTCTTAAAGAATATTATACAAATGATATTACATGAAGTGGAAGACCCCTTTTTGGGTAAATGTATACTACACATTCATGTCCTGTTAAGAAACTTATAAAAGGATACCACTGTTGCTCACCTTTCTTTCATGGCCATCTCCTCAGGATCAGCATATTCATATACACTCTCCTCCTCTTCAGCAATAGTCTCTTCATCATCACCTAGGAAGCCTGTAGTTGCAGCAGTCTCCATTGCTAAAGCTGCACCATGGTAATCACTGAATCATAGAAAATATCAGATATTTGCTTGTTGCGTAAAGTACTTCAGGGTATTTGACTAAGTGGTCAACAACTTGTAATAAAAAGGCCGTGATGTGTACATGTATGACTGTGTATGAGTGCACATAAAAGAACACATGACTTCTTTAATGAGGGGTTCCTCTCAGATTATTTGCGTAAATTACGACCATACATATAAGGGATATACCCAAGAGTTATTGCTCACCTTCATTGGTAGTAAACAAAATACAATATCAACGGTGTATTTAAGGTTTCTAATCATGATGCACGAAGGCAACATTTAAAGAAAACCCACAAAATGTACAAATCCAATCAAACAAATCAATAAACAAACTATGTTTATTCAATACATAATGCCATCTATTTTGTTTCTCACTTTTAAATTCAAAAAATGTACAAAAAATGTAATGTTTCTCTTGTTCCCTATTTCATGTAAGGTGCTGCCCTCTTAAAATGAATGTTATCTTTATCTCATTAATGTATTCATACATCTTACAAAATGTATATAAATTGAGATTTGTGCCTACAACATACAATACTGCAAGTAAAAATGCTATATTTGGAACAGTATTTTTGTCTAATCATATGAATAATTAATGTCATATACCTGATCACCATCCCCTATGATTGAATATCATAAACTATACCTGAACAGATGATCCTTTACTCTGGCTGGGGCAATGTCCATTTTAGGAGGAGCAGGGTTCCAGTACATCCTCGACTCATCCCACTTAACATCCATCTTTTCTCCCTCAATGCTAATGTCTGGTGCATCAAACTAGAATAAATTTTGTGTGTATTTTAAGGTTCCTTCAAAGCATAATTAGTTTACGATATGCTACATAGCCTAAGGGGTACATTCTGAAGGTAAGTGAGATTTACCTCTCATTTATCATGTGTATTTATATGCGTAAAAACAACAACAAAATTATCAAAAATCATAGCTATGACATTTTTAACATATTGCTAACTTAAACAGATAAAAGTCCATCACATCATTGATCTATTACCTAATAAATTATCTATATTCATTATTCAATAGTTGAAAAGAAGTATAATACCAATTGTTGAGCTCTTGCCTGCCACGCCTCAAGCGTTTCATCATCTCCTTGGCCACCAGAGGGTGCTTCCATCTTTGCATTATCAAGGATTCGTTTGGCAGCTGCAGACATTCGCTGTCTCTGATGGGATCTCTCTTCCTCCTGTTCAACCAAAGCATCTGCTGTGTTGAGTCTAGTAGGAGAGGTGGGGGTTGTTGGGTGAAACCAAACAATGTCATCATTCTACAAACAATCATATATATCTATATAAGGCTGATGGGATCTCTTTTCCTCCTGTTCAGCCAAAGCATCTGATGTGTTGAGTCTAGTAGGAGAGGTGGGGGTTGTTGATGTGAAACCAGACTGTCATCATTCCACAAACATCAAGGCTCACTATAGTAGTGATATAGTAATACTAGGAAAGGCACACAACTTTAAGAAGTGTACTATATACAAGTGTAAAGTTCTAAAAAATTTCTCTTCTGAATCACTAAGTCATATAGAAAGTCATAGAAATCACTAAGTCATATAGAGTGCATACATTTTGTATTAGTACCTATACAGTTTGACAGTATTTGAAGTTGCAATAAAATAAACTTGAACAAGGGGCGAGGGCTTGTGTTGAAGTCACCATAACATATAAAGAAACATTTCAAAATGAGAGTTAAGAGGGTTACACTATACTCTTTATGTTACTGGAATTTGAAAATTTTGATAAATCAGTTTGAGATGGCATGTGCAATTAAAATGTGACATGGAGTGGAGTAAAAAGGATTCTGCTGAAGTATTTATGGTAAGTGAAGTGATCATGAAAATGTTAGAAAACTGTTTGGATTGTGACTATATTGTTGTCAAATAATTTTCAATATCATAGACAACTAGACAACAGCAACGCCAAAGCGTAGCAAATTCAATCGAACAGCCATGGTTGGCATTTTTACGAACGAAGTATAAGCAAAAATCATAAAATGTGGATAAAAATGGCCACCATTTTCAAAATGGTTACTCACTAGCCAAATTGTCATCAGAAAGTGTAATTTGCTTCTAAGTAGGCACATATAAAATTTCAACAAAATCGCACACATGTACATGTAAATGACAGCCATTTTTCAAAATGGGCTCCTACTAGCCAAAATGTCATAAGACAGTGTGCCATGCCTCTGAGTATTCACATATCAAATACTGCCTGTCAACCCTCACGCATTAGGCGTGATGGTCACACATTTGCTGGAAAAATATAAATCACACATTAATTTTGCGTGTATGATATAATATCACGCAAATCACGCATTATGTTGATAGACTTTAAAAAAATCTTTACATAAAATTCATCGCGAATAAAGCAAAAAAACGAACCCAAAAAAGAGAATGCATTCCTTTCAGACTTTTTACGCAAACCCCATAAATGTCACGCATTTGGTTCAAAATTTCTTCCTATGTCAAGCATTTGCTTCAATCATTGCCACACTACCTCCCCCTTTGTTGGGAAAAATTTGAGGTTAAGCTGTTCAAAACTTGAACCAAGTTGTTCAGATTTGAACCGCAATTTAAAGAAAGGTGTTCAACATTTGTAAATCACTCATGTTAAGTGTTCCCAAGTTGACAGCCCTGAAAATGGTTCTATTACTTTTTGATTTACAGTAAAAAAAAGTAAAAATGACGGCCACTTTTTAAAATGGTCACCCATTACCCAAAGTGTCATTAGACAGTGTGTAAGGCTTATGAGTATTCACATATCATATATGAACAAAATCACTCAACTACTTTTTGAGTTATTAACCCAAAAGTGGCATTAGACAGTGTGTCATGCTTGTAGTATTCACATATCAAATATGAACAAAATTGCTCCACTATTTTTTGAGTAATTTTAAAAATGTAAAATAGCACACGTAAAAATGTCGGCCATTTTTCTACTTCTACCCAAAGTGTCATTAGACAGTTTGCCATGCTTATATTATACACATGCCAAATATGAACAAAATCCCATTTTTCAAGATGGCTGCCATGTGCTTCTTAATTATCTACATTTCTAGCTTCATTAATGTCCTATATAATCTTTAAAATTTAACATATACTGCTATCACAGCTTCCTAAATTACTGTTAAATTGGCACTAAAATATGGCTGCCATTTTTAAACGAGTGACCATTTTGAAAATTGGCTTCCAAGCAGAACTTCTATCCCCATAGGGCCCATTAAAACAAAATCGATTCAACTGTATTTGAGTTATCACCCAGACAGACGTACGGACAGAGGCATTCCTTATATCCCTCTGAACTTCATTTGATGGGGTAGTGAAGAAATGAATATATAGGGGGGGGGGGATCTGATATCTGTAAGGTAATGGAACACCTTTGGTAACCAATGGAAGTAGACCTAACTTTTCTACTAACATTCAAAAAACTTTTAGAACAAGACAACCTGAACTTTTGAGCAATCAAGGCACAAAATGTATATTTCCAATCTACTGACCGGCTCTTTGATCTTTTCTCCTCTTTTTAACACTTATCCTAAAAAACAAATCATTAACACACCTCTTCTGGTTGTTCATTCATGTTCTGGTATCTCCCTGCCACCAAATTACGCCTCATGGTCCCTCGTAGTTCCTTTGGGAGTTGGATATCCTCATTGGTCATACAGAAATGATGAATATTCCTCTCCAAATCTGGGCCTACTTTCTTCTCATGTAACTCATATCTGAAATAATAATATTATGCAAAGTGTGACAAATACATAGACATGGTACATACTGGGAAGTTGGATTTCCTTTATAGTCATACAGAAGAGGCAGATATTCCTCATCTACAATGGAATAGATATAAGTTGGCAAACCAATCTAAGTGAACATGGTATAATGCAAAACCCATTATTATATCAAGCAAAAAAGAATCTCATAACCCAAAGAAAGTTGTATCGACACATTCATATAATTGTCATTAGACACAGAGAGCAAGTTGCAACCACTTATTTAGAACATAGAACATGTTTTGGATTAGAAATAAAGCTATGAACTGGTCTATCATAAAAACTACAAACAATAGAGTCATAACTCCCAATATGAACACTATTTTAGTGCCTGTACAAATAACTTAAAAACCAGTTGGATCTTGAATTAACTTAGACTTTGGATATCACGTCACTATTAAAATGTGGACATGCGCAAACAATAACGCAGCCACACCCATAGTCTCGCAATAAGGAAGGAGAGTAAAAGCCACTGTGAAATACATCATAAGGAGATTTAAAAAAAGGGTTGAAATGGATCAGGAAAAATTAATTGAGCATGGGACAAGATCTAAAATTCAAGATCCTGAGTCAGTTGGTCCCAAAGATGCTTCAGATATATCCAATGAAGCTCTTAAAGACTCTGGCCATGTACCTCTTGAAGCTAGTAAGTACAATTTATAAATTAACTATGGATTTCGTTTATTAGTGTTCATTGTCAAAGACTGTATTACATTTTTTATTTTAGATGTTTCGGATGCAAGCTGCATCCATGATCACTAAATTTAATTTGAAACAGTTAAAAAATACAGGTAAATCTACTTATCATGTCATTGAACCTTAACAACGTCAAAAAATAATTAATTGCTATGGCGATATAACTTCATCCCACAGTGGTCTAAATTGAAGTGCTGCCCATGTCTCTATTGAAGTTTTATGTTTTCTTATGTGAATGGCTTCTCATCAACCTATTGTTTCTGTTCCTTTCTCTGCTAACTATTTTATAATTGTCCCAATCAATTTGGTGGTTTTCTTGGAGAATATGATCAGTAATCGCTGATTTATTAAAGCAATTAAATGATGCTTTTTTATTGTTTCTAGTGTAGCTATTCATTTTCTTATCTTCTTCGGTCTTGTGTTCCTTGATATGAGTGTAAGGAGATCTACTTGCTTCTCCTATGTAACTTTTGTTACAATTGTTGCATGGAACTTGATATACCACATTGGTTTTGCGATCCTGTTTGACTTTATCTTTAGGATGAACGAAAACATTTAAGTGTTTTCATAGGTTTAAAAGCTACTTTGATATCTTTTTTCTTCATTATTCTTCTAATTAGTTCCGATACATTTTTCACATAGGATATGGTTACTACCTTTTTTATCTCTGTCTTGTCCTTATTTGTATCTGCTTTACTTTCCAAAGGTTCCTGTGTCTTTTTAATAGTCCATTTTGGATAACCGCATCTTTCTTATACTATTTTAACATTTGAGGTTTCTTCTACTTTGTCCTTCTGTTTACTGCAAATCAAATCTGCTCTTCCTATTAACGTAGAAATTACTGACATTTGTGTTCAAGAGGATGGTGTGATTGAAAGTTTAAATACTGGTCTGTGTGGCAAGTTTTCTATATACAGTACATCTTATCGGACCATCCAAATTCATGTTAAGTTGCGTGTCTAAGAAAGCCAGTCTTCCCTCTGATTCTGTTTCTACTGTAAACTTGACAATGTCTATAGAATTTATATGATTTGTCAATTCATCAATGTCTAGTACATCATCTACATATTGTTTGTACAATGATGGGGAATTAAAATTTAATTTTTTAATTTAAATGTAGTGATCATGGATGCAGCTTGCAACCGAAACATCTAAAACAAAAAATGTGATACAGTCTGTGACAATGAACACTAACAAATGAAATTAATATTACCATACTATGAACTTATTTAATATAACTATGGATTTACATAAAATTAGTACCGTCGGTACTGGGCTCACATGGTAACAGAAAAAAACGGATATCATTTTTTGCTGATTTTTTGTTACAAAATTATTTCAAGCCATCTGTCTCTCAGTCAATTAAAATGGCTGAAAAAAAACGGATATAATTTTTTGCCAATAATTTGTAACAAAATTATTTCATACAACTACTCTTTACAGTGACATGGCTTTTTGCAATGCAAGACACCTGAAATTATTTGTAAAGCTAGGAAATGGGCCAAAATTGAATTTTGCGAGACAAAAATGGCGACCGTTTTGAAATCAGGCAAGCTTTTGAACCAGGAGTCATAGGGGAGTTTTCTGAATTGATGTTGAACAGAAATAACTTAAAACAGGAATCCTATCGACAGAGGTTTTAAAACGTGCCACAGAAAGTGGATTTCGCGAGTCAGATAGACAAATCAATGTTAACTAAAATGGCTGAAAATAAAAAATGGATACAATTTTTCCCTGATTTTTTGTAACAAAATTATTTCATATATCTACCCTTTACATTGACATGGATTTTTACAATGTAGGACACCTGAAATTATTTGTAAAGCTAGGAAATGGGTCAAAAGTGAATTTCGCGAGACAAAAGTGACAGCCATTTTGAAAATAGCCTAGCTTTTGAACCAAGAGTCATAGGAGAGTTTTTTGTATTGATGTTGAACAAAAATAACTTAAAATGGGAATCCTATCGACAGAGGGTTTAAGGTAAATGGTCCAAAAGTGAATTTTGCGAGACAGATGGACAAATCAATGTTAACTAAAATGGCTGAAAATAAATAAATGGATATAATTTTTCGCTGATTTTTCGTAACAAAATTATTTCATACATCTACTCTTTAATTCGCAATGGATTTCTACAATGTAGGACACTTGAAATTATTTGTAAAGCTAGGAAATGGGTCAAAAGTGAATTTCGCGAGACAAAAATGGCGGCCATTTTGAAAATAGGTGAGCTTTTGAACCAGGAGTCATAGGGGAGTTTTCTGAATTCATGTTGAACAGAAATAACTTAAAACAGGAATCCTATCAACAGAGGTTTTAAAACGTGCCACTGTTATTGACAGAAAGTGGATTTCGCGAGTCAGATAGACAAATCAATGTTAACTAAAATGGCTGAAAATAAAAAATGGATACAATTTTTCTCTGATTTTTTGTAACAAAATTATTTCATATATCTAATCTTTACATTGACATGGATTTTTACCATCGCTGATTTTTTGTAACAAAATTATTTCATATATCTACCCTTTACATTGACATGGATTTTTACAATGTAGGACACCTGAAATTATTTGTAAAGCTAGGAAATGGGTCAAAAGTGAATTTCGCGAGACAAAAGTGACGGCCATTTTGAAAATAGCCAAGCTTTTGAACCAAGAGTCATAGGAGAGTTTTTTGTATTGATGTTGAACAAAAATAACTTAAAATGGGAATCCTATCGACAGAGGGTTTAAGGTAAATGGTCCAAAAGTGAATTTTGCGAGACAGATGGACAAAAAATGTTAACTAAAATGGCTGAAAATAAATAAATGGATATAATTTTTCGCTGATTTTTCGTAACAAAATTATTTCATACATCTACTCTTTACTTTGCAATGGATTTCTACAATGTAGGACACTTGAAATTATTTGTAAAGCTAGGAAATGGGTCAAAAGTGAATTCCGCGAGACAAAAATGGCGGCCATTTTGAAAATAGGCGAGCTTTTGAACCAGGAGTCATAGGGGAGTTTTCTGAATTCATGTTGAACAGAAATAACTTAAAGCAGGAATCCCTATCGACAGAGGTTTTAAAACGTGCCACTGTTATTGACAGAAAGTGGATTTCGCGAGTCAGATAGACAAATCAATGTTAACTAAAATGGCTGAAAATAAAAAAATGGATACAATTTTTCGCTGATTTTTTGTAACAAAATTATTTCATATATCTAATCTTTACATTGACATGGATTTTTACCATGTAGGACACCTGAAATTATTTGTAAAGCTAGGAAATGGGCCAAAAGTGAATTTCGCGAGACAAAAGTGACGGCCATTTTGAAAATAGCCAAGCTTTTGAACCAAGAGTCATAGGAGAGTTTTTTGTATTGATGTTGAACAAAAATAACTTAAAATGGGAATCCTATCGACAGAGGGTTTAAGGTAAATGGTCCAAAAGTGAATTTTGCGAGACAGATGGACAAAAAATGTTAACTAAAATGGCTGAAAATAAATAAATGGATATAATTTTTCGCTGATTTTTCGTAACAAAATTATTTCATACATCTATTCTTTACTTTGCAATGGATTTCTACAATGTAGGACACTTGAAATTATTTGTAAAGCTAGGAAATGGGTCAAAAGTGAATTTCGCGAGACAAAAATGGCGGCCATTTTGAAATAGGCGAGCTTTTGAACCAGGAGTCATAGGGGAGTTTTCTGAATTCATGTTGAACAGAAATAACTTAAAGCAGGAATCCTATCGACAGAGGTTTTAAAATGTGCCACTGTTATTGACAGAAAGTGGATTTCGCGAGTCAGATAGACAAATCAATGTTAACTAAAATGGCTGAAAATAAAAAAATGGATACAATTTTTCGCTGATTTTTTGTAACAAAATTATTTCATATATCTAATCTTTACATTGACATGGATTTTTACCATGTAGGACACCTGAAATTATTTGTAAAGCTAGGAAATGGGCCAAAAGTGAATTTCGCGAGACAAAAGTGACGGCCATTTTGAAAATAGGCGAGCTTTTGAACCAGGAGTCATAGGGGGGTTTTCTGTATTGATGTTGAACAGAAATAACTTAAAACAGGAATCCTATCGACAGAGGTTAGCTAGGAAATGGGCCAAAAGTGAATTTCGCGAGACAAAAGTGACGGCCATTTTGAAAATAGCCAAGCTTTTGAACCAAGAGTCATAGGAGAGTTTTTTGTATTGATGTTGAACAAAAATAACTTAAAATGGGAATCCTATCGACAGAGGGTTTAAGGTAAAT